TCTGAGATTCGCATAAAAACTAATAGAGATAAACTGGCCAGATTACTTGCCTCGGGAAACTTATTCCCATCACGTCTTCACGAAGTAACCCATCGAAATTTGCTCGAGGATCGTCCAACAACCAGCCCAATCAAGTGGACCCTTAAACCATTTTTCAATAAAGATGGAAGAACCCGAAACATGATTAAAAGCATCACTAGTGAAGAATGTGGCTAAAATTGAATTAGGAACTTATAGTCATTTCTCGTGGTGACTAAAATGAAAGAGGTCACATATTGTCCATTCAAATAATATTTGTCTGAGCTCAACCAAACTTGAGTTGCTCCCCCTATAAATGTAATCACCCTCTTGTTTCTTCATATCTTCTTCAGACAACTTATCAACTGTGCTAAACATGAAACTATCAAGATCGACTTCCTTGTTCATCGGATCCATTCTGACCTGGAAAAAGAAAACCACCAAACAAGCTCCTCAACAGATCATGTCAAAGACTACTGAAAGAATGGACCAAAAACACACATGATCCTGGAAAGGGACATCTTAAGCACCTAATTCCGGTACACATTAACTCGGTTTATCATCAATGCATAAAACCGTCACCACAATTCGTCAAAACCCTTACCTTGTCAAAGTTAACCACGAAGATAGAAGCAGGACTGGGCCTGTCGGGGTCTCTGTTTAGTTCGAACCCCACGGTTTCAGTGTAAAAAAATGTAGGAATAGAATTTTTGAAATACAGACTCCACAGCTGTAGCCTCCGCTTCAAACAACGAGACCTCTCTTCCCAAATCAGTCTACAATACACCTCATCCATATCAGAGATCCATCCAAAATCACAGCATTGTAGTTCGAAAATCAATTTTGGCAATTTCAATTCAAAATCCCTTTCTTACCTCCCTAGCAGATCCTGAAGGAACCATGGCCTCTTTCATTGCCTTCTCCAGTGCAATCATCTCCGCCTGCCCAGCTGTTTGCACAAGTGAATTACTCATACAAGCAACAATTAGTTTTCATTCAAAGGGATGGGGGGTGCTTATGCTTGCACAGCTTGACGCCGAGATTACCTGCGATATTCGGCCAGTTTAGGGTTCAAACAATCGATTGGGAGGAATCATAGGACAGGTGGGAAATATAACAGTCGAGAACGGGAAAAAGAAGAAGAATAAGAGGGGGAAACAGAGTGGTTCAATTATCGCTGCCATTTTCTGAGGCGGCTGGGATGATTTACAGGAGTAGGGAGGAAGAACAGGGTTATTCCCAATTCGAACAGAAAAATGGAGAAGAGAGAAGGTCCAAGGTCGGGATTTGGAGAAGAGGGGTAGGGCTGCGGGTGGGGCAAGGTAGGTGTCCTTTCTCTTAGGGTGGTTGGATTTTGGGTCAATTCAATAACTAAACAGAACCAACCCGATTTGGTTTACAATGGACTAAAATGAAAGAAAAACTAATTCTATGAGTTGATCTGTAATTTTATTTAATATAAATTCCGAAAAAATAAATCATTTAATAAAATTTAATCTCAGCCGTCGAGATCACACGTACGGTCAAGATCACCCAAGGTCTTTGCAGGGCGATGACACCAGTAGCTGTGGAGGTAGGAAGAAGGAGAGCAAGCCTGAATTCATGCGAGGATACTATCAAGCTTCAAACGCCATATACCCCGGAATTTACCCGGGGTACGATAGAAGCCACCATATATATATATAACCAAGATAATATGAAGTCAAAGTTGAAGAACCGATGCCAGGGAAAGTTTTGATTAAGAGACAGCGAGATATAAAAGTAATGTAGTCATAACCGAACCGGAGCATGACCCGGTAATGTGAACTGCTCGCACTTTAGTGGTCCAATCGATATTAGACCGGTTAAAAATCGTTAGAGAACCGGTACCTAATAAACGTTATTAGTATAAATAGTGGACATTTCTTAATTAGAGTTCGTCTCTTTCCATCGAAATTGTGAAATGGAAATAAGGATTCAGTTTGAGAGCCATATGTTTTTGGTTTATTTCAATTTTTAATTAAATTTAACGGCTGAATGGCAAAATCCGTACGAGCGGCTCGATCAGCTCGAGCGTTTAACCGCCTCGGCTGCTCATCCACCGCCACAAAAAACCGGAGCGGCTTTTAGACTGTTCCGAACCGGTTTTGTAACAGGGTGGCAGTTTTACCGGTCGGACTGAGCGGCTCGGCTCGGCTTTAATAACACTGGGTAAAAGGGACTCGCCAACCTCAAATTCAGGCCATTAATTCAGAATCGGAAAATGAAAAAACTCAAAAAGCATGAGTAAGGGGCCGAAACGGCCAGCAACTTATTCCATAGACCTCCTGTATATTACTAGCACTGGGCTCGGCCCTTGGCCGAGAAAGTTTACCAAAAATTTATGAAAATAACCATGTTAACAATATAATAAGTATAAGAAGGCCAAGGTAATATAGCCGAGTTGGTCGAGATTGTGGTCTTTCGGACTTGAGATATGTGAGGTCTTAGATTCGAACCCCGCTATACCACTTGGTGTTCCCGGAGGCATCTCTCGTGCGGGAGACGAAGTCTTCCCCCAGTATCGGATGCTAGGCCTTGAAAATGTTGATGATGATTAATCATCTCCCAATATTGCCAATGCAAGTTGACATCCATACCCAATAAAGTGAAACTCAAGCCAATTCAAATACTGTTGCAATACATGGTAAAGATACAAAACAAATTAAACTAAGAAATCGGTTATTAAAGTTATTATTATTATATTATAAAAAGCTAAACCATATATTACTGTTGCCTAAACTCTTTGCTATCATGCACCACAAAGCACCTTGATTTTATGTTTATATCCATTTTGCTAACATATACCATCTTCATTGGTTCTTTCTCTTTCAATGCCTTTGTTTTCTCTTTTTAGTATTTGTATTATTTTGCAACTTCCACATAATTGATAGTTGTAATTTTTTGGCATGAGAGATTTGGCTTAGCACACATATTCTACAAAATGTTTCCCAATTTGAGAGTTTTGAACTTCTAATAATACTGGAACATTATTTCTATTAGGGATGACAAAAGTATCTACAGTTGTGGGTCTCCGAACGAATCCAACTTAATTGGGTAGAGAAAAACTCGAACATAACATATTTTTAATGGGAAGGGGTAAAATCCGAATTCGAATATTGCGGGTAATGAGTGGACATGGTTCTCACTTTTCAACCTAACCCGTCCGATTAATACACATGCATATATAATTTCTCTAGAATGAGTCATTATTTTTCTCGACAAATTATATATTTGTTATACATATATAATATTTTCATCAAATTGTGTTGTGTTAATTATTTTTCTTCATTTTAGTGATTTATTGTCATACTTTTTCACTTATGCAATGTCACTATACGTGTGAATGTTAACATGTTTGTTAGAGTCATAAAGATGAAATATTATCCATGGATACCCGAACATCGGATGTGGACATGATTTTAGTTTTCTTCTCAAGTCTTGTGTAGATACGGGTGTGGGATAAATAAGAACTATTTGTGTACGCAGGGGAATGAAACTATTTGAGGATCGAGAAATACACCAGATGTGAGAAGAATGAGAGAGAGATAGAGGTGTAGACAGAAGATGGGCGAGACTCAAATCTCATTATTATTTGGAAAACGGCCGAAATTGGTTTGTTATCGTCCACTGATACGATCCGCAATTCAGGTCAATATAAAAGATTAGTGGTTGTCTCCTTAACTCAAATTGGCCGCAGCAAAACGTGGCAACACAACCTAGTAATAATAATGCAAGCTTCAAGCGAATTGAAGGTCAACATCTTTAGTATGTGTTAATCCTAGAGCAAGACTTGTTCTACTTCATAGTTTATCCTGATTGATAATATAAAAAAAATCCAAGTCAAAATAAAGTGCTTAAAGTAAACAAAGTATGTTTGGCGATTCATCCCAAATTCCCAATTAACTCCAAGAAAAGACTCATTATTGTTATTGTGTTATATGAAAACCCAATTTGAGTTGCAAGTCTCTGGGTGTGGCAAAATGAAATTTTCTTTCAATTTTTACATATCTCTTTATGGAGGGATTGAAGGATGGAACCAATTGATGTAATTGTAAATATAGAGAGATTGGGCAGAAGAATCAATTGTTGTAGAGGAGAAAGCGAGCAAAATAGGTTTCGGGAGAAGGCAAGGGCAACAACTGGTCTACCTGGCATGTTGCCCTGGTGGCCATTTGCTATGGATGAAACACATAGCTTAACTTCTGTTGTTATTGGGTAGCGGGAAGAACGGACAGAAGGCCCAATTTTTATTGTTATTGGCCCCGTAGGTGGCCCATATATGACAGGCGGGTAAAGACTCAAAAAACAGAACGGACAGCATCATTGACACCTTGTAATATGATAATAAGGCCCATCCGAAAATCACTCTTAGGTCGGGATGGCAATTTCGACCTGCCCTGAGTTACCCGACCTGTTTGACCTGTTTTGGGGCGGGTCCGACCCACCCCGTAGGCGGGACGGGGCGGGAATGGGTACCTCTCATCGACCTGACCTGCCCTGACTCGCCCCATTCTCGACCCGTTCTGGCCTAAGTTACATGTAATCTTAGTCAAATTACTTAGAATTTTCCTCTTATTACATCATATTTTATGTATAATAAAATTGTAAATAAGTGAAAAACTCAATTTCTCCAATAATTTAACTACATTTTATCAAATTATGGTTTCTTTCTTGGTCTTTTACTTAAAATAACGAATAATTCTAATGTTTTTCGCATAAATTATATACCCAATGAGTCGACCTGCCCCGACCCGCGTCCCATGATAAATTACCCGACCCGTACCCGACCTACCACAGGGCGGGAATGGGTATAGAGATACCCGCCCCGGACCTGTCCCATTGCCATTCCTACTCTCAGACCACTATTTTCAAAATGCTGAAAATCCAACCCATGTTTTGTCATCATACATTTTGTTGATTTAGATTAAAGAAGAAAACTATATCTAATAATTAAGTACGCAATACCGTAGATTACATTATTCCATTCAAATCGATCGATACCTAGGTACAAAACGGGTATGTCTCGTAGCGAAGATAACAACCCTGATTCTGGAATTGAGCTCCAGCGACGAGAGGACCACAGGATTTGGCTATGGTTTCAAAGCCTCCGCGTATACAGCTTCTGCACTCAGGTTCTTGAGCACTGAACATGTAACAGATCATGTACTGGTAGACCGTTATCCATCGCTTACCGCCATCGTGGTACTGGAGAGGGCGCTGCACGCAGCCTATACCACCATACTTGGCAGACTGCCAGGCGACGCTCATTTGGGTGGCCGAGCTGCGGAAGTTGTAAGCGCTGCATACTGGAGGGTCGAACTCTGGCTCCTCGGCTGCTGCATTCAAACGACTGTCGCTGTTTAGCGTGAGAACCAGAAGAAGAAGAAGGCACAATGGTGATGATGAGAAGGTCAAGGAATGTTCTCGCAACATAATACTTAATTGATGCTATAGCTTAATTAAGTTGGACAATGATCAGCTTCTCGATCTACTGTTTTTATTTTGTGTTAAGAAAGTTGATTATCGGTTTCCTTCTAATATCTCTGTATGTACGTGTGCCGGCGGAGTTTCGCACGATAATTAACGTTTCACGAGTTACCTTACGCACACGGCTTTCTTTCCCTACTTGATAGTTGATAGCTGTGTATCTTCGGCATAGTGATTCTTTCTGGCCGGCTGATACTTTACTTGTCGTATATATTGCTCTCACCATATTGCTTATGGTGATTGGTACATGGGTGATTTCTCTCTAGGTTATCATGAAGCACTTAAAAGCAAGCAAAATTGTGCGGACATAATCTGATGAATTAGAATCATTGATTTTCATTTTCATATTAAAAATATATTATAGTTTGGGTTAGAGAATTGAAGACCGGGATTTATCGTACCTCTTAAAGTTTAGGCTATTGTATCAACATATTCAAATATTTAGCTAATTCAATATCTAAATAACAAGAAGAACGAGAAGGAGAAGATCAGCTATGCATAAAAGAGAGCTAGCTCACTACAAGAAAGCAGCTCGTTAGCGACGGTTTTCTTGCTATTTAACGACGGTCGAAACCGTCGCAAAAAACTTTAACGACGGACAGGCGACTGTCACTGACCCAACAGTCCTTAAATTAGTTTGCGACGCTTTTGGACGACCGTCGTCTCAACCGTCGGTACAATTTAACGACGGGCATGACCGTCGCTGATTTAAAAATGACTGTCATTATATGTATCAGTCGAAAGGTTGTTTCAGGGATTAGCTACGTTCAAAACCGTCGCTAAATTAAATACATGTGTCACTAAAATGCTTGCTTTTCCAAGTAGTACCTGTGACCTAGTCCAATCAACTAGAACTAAATCAATAGTAATTTGAGCAAAAATTAACCAACAAAATCACACAAATCTAGTTTTGGAAAGCCTTCATATTAATAAAATCATCAATCCTCAACCAAAAATCCCTTGAACATTCTAAAGTTTAACATTCTCATATATATGACAACTAATGTTCCTTGTGAAAGTTCAAAACCTCTTTGTCGTCCTTCTTGCAAAACCACCAGCCCCTCTTATAGCATATCAGAATCTAGCACTGCATCTCACCAAACAAAAAAATCTCGCACTGCAAGGAAACACGAAGCAAATCAGAGATAATAACCACGGAAAACAGAATGCGAGTACTAAGAAACAACGGTGTGTACAAAATACTTTCACAAGGTAGGATTATTAAGCTGATGAGGTCTTATGATATCAAAAGAACAATTAAACAAACAGCTAGTCAATTAAAGCTGCAGGTAAACTAAATTTTTCTTAAGGGGCAGAGAAACAATTTTGAAAGTAGTACAAGAGAGTCCCCAGAAGGAACCATAGTGACGCTATGCAGGCTTGATAGCCACAACAGACCGGGAAAACACAACATTTAGGAACTATAACTTCAACTTTGGCACAGGCTTCAATCAATGATAGGTCTGTCCAGATTACACTACAATGAGACCGAGCAACTTGCATTTTGACCCACAACCAAGACTAGCATTCCCAAAATAAGCAAGCTTGACGACTAACACAAAGGGTAGAATGCCAAAATTTGAAGAAGAATGCCTCTCCTTCGTCCTTAACAAACCAACTTCCTAACGTTACAAGAGAAATTCTCAGTTCATATATTAAATTTCTACGAATGACAGCAGTTACCCCTTTTGATAATTCTTGATAGTTTGACATTTAATGTAACAAGATAGAAACTAACCTCCGTGTCTGAAAATCTCTGCCTCCCCAGCGTCACTATGTTTCTTAAGCGCTCTCTACGGAGGAGAAATTAAGCGCTTTCACGCAAGACCTCAAGGTCTCCTTCTAACCATGTTTGAAGAACGTCTCTTTGATGAGTAGCAGAACACTTACGCAATTCTGAAAAGTAGCAGCAGATATAAGTAAACCATGAAAAGGCCAGATCTATTACCAGAAATATTTTTTTTTTAAAGTCCAGAAAAGACAACAATCATTGGTTGCACATATCCAATATCCACATCCAATTGATTTGATTATAACGAAATTGAACAACAACCTAATGATTATATCAAGAGAAATTGAAAATTAAGGTTTCAATCATTGCACTTATCCAATATCCTTGCCTCCCTTGCAAGTTGCAACTGCACTGTCAACTCCTGATAAGCCATTCCATACAAGAATATGTCCATCGCCAGAACAGTTAATACCAACTGAAATTAACAATCAAAATGACAAGTTAAAATCCACATGACAGGAAAGATGAAGAGAAACAAGTCATTTTCCCAAGTGAGAAAGGAACTAGGCATTACAGTCAATTTCATGAACTCTCGGAAAGAAACATACACACCATATAGTGACTTCTGGAATTCTGTCATTACAGAGAGTGCTCTTAAGAACCCTTTTTTTCTCCACCTTCTGAAACTCTTCCAGAATCTGGATAACCATTTTTTGCCTTCTTTACCATTACTTTGAGTCTTGCCTGTAAAATTGGTATTAGTAATACAAGATCTGCTCTTAAGGAAATAATGAACACATAGGAGTTCACCTGACAGGGAGTTAGCCTAATACATCTAGCTACCTCAAGAGTTCTTCTGCAATAAACGCAAGGAGGGTAAAATACAGAACATCCACCATTTTAGGTCAACTGAGAGGACATGATCAACAACCCAGATTCTAATTATAAGCATAGAAGAATCCCTAGAGTTTCACTTCGAATGCATCTAGCTACCACAATTTCTCACACAGTAAAAGCAAGGAAACAGAGTAAATAAGCTATCTACTATACTAGTTCCCCTCAATTTGATGGGAACAACAACATACACTCATTTAGATATAAAGTTACCCACAACAACATACACTGATAGGGGAAAAAGCAGCAACCAAGTAGGATACAATTTCACTTACCAATCAAACAATACAATTTTAAGGCTACAAGTAGGTACGTTAACATACATGGATATAGGTACCTGGGTTATGGCATCAAAGGCTTCTGCACAGGTCTACACAGTTTGGATGCAGCTTCTCCAAAGCGCCATGTGGAAACTGGAGCTTAGTTGACATCAAAATATTTTGAAAGTGCTGAATACATAAGAGAACAAATATTCTTACACAAGGTGGGAAAGATAATTCTAGAAAAGATGTGTCTCAACACCAGTTGGTGTACTGTATGAAAGAAAATAAAGGATTGATATAGAAACCCAAACAATCGAACTCTTGATAATACCAGAACGAAAGCCTCACTGAAATCAAAGTGCAAAACATTAGTAACTTGATACCTTGAAATACTGTGAACATATATGCCACCCTCAAGTTCCTCTTCTTCCATCTCTTCCTCGTTACCAAATTACCCCAATGCTTACTCAACTGGCTCCTCATCTATATGATTTCAAGGTAAATACCATAACATCGATTACTCAGCCTGTCAGTGAGAAGAGCATAACCAGCATAAGAAAGTTACATCAAAACTTGGTTGTTCTTCTTGATGAACCCCAAAAGCATCTCGATACAGAGGCCTCCATGCTAAAGGAAACATACAAAATAAATCAGTTACCATAAGAAAATTAAGATCACTAAGGTAGCTGGCTAGCTTCAACAACAAACGGTAGCGAACAGGGGATGACAGAAACATGCATCCAAAGCAACATTGACTCTTCAATTTTTTTACGAAATTGTTAAGCTGTATCTGCCTCCATTGCCCACACTCGGGGAAAACACCTGCAGTAATACAGTCAAGCCCCAATGACTCTAGAACCCTAAGATTGCAACAATTCCACGGTTAAGTCAAGTAAAATCTAGTAAAGAATCAGGCCTCAATCCTAATGTATAGGAATATGCCCATATATTGCCCAAAGAAAGAAATTAATCGAATGAATTGAAACTAGCTAGCAGTATCAGTTGTTCACCTCCATTGAAATTCTCGACAAAGCTCGTTAGAGCACAGCCAAGTAATCTCCTCGTCGATGAGATCTTGCCGTACCCATCCTCTTTCCGATGATATACAAAATCTGGATCTTATGGCAACGGAGAACCCTTCAATCGATTCTCAAACACAACGAAGCTCGGATTGGTAATCTGAACGTCGCCGTCCATCGCCGATGTCATTAGCATCCACAGTGATGAACGAGTATGAGGATGACTGGAGCGGTCTGTTTATCTCCACAAAACTGCATTCTCAAATCTTCTTCTTATCGTCCTTCCAACAAAAATTAGGGTTTTTATTTAGAAATTTGGGACAGAGAGGAGAAGATCTGAAGAACGATGAGAGAAAGAATAGGAAGAATGATGAGCAGGACAGAGGGATTTTCTCTATTTTGTTTCTATTCTTAAAATCTGAAAAGTATATTTTTATAATACTAAAAAGTGTAGCATAAAATAGTATTAAAATCAAAAGTTTGGTACAAGCCCGAGGAAGCTTCACGTGGGAAAAATGACGTGTGGATAACGACGGCCACTTGGACGGGCAAATATTCCGTAGTGGAGCTGATAGATATTAGATAATGACGTTTCTGATGACCGTCTTTAAGAAGCTGTCGTTAATACTTATGTTTCTTGTAGTGTAGATTCTTTCCGGCAGAGGCCCCAAAGCATGAAATCCTCTTTCGTTATGACTTATGACTAGACCAGAACGTGTGATGGAGACATTGTTCGGCCAAGTTAGTTCATGCATGGAGTCTTGTGGCATATTCATACGTATTTATATGAACAATTGCGCGAAGAAGAAACAACAATCCATCCACAGATTCTGCATCTTGTCATCCGACGTTCACGGTTCGCAAACATGAAAAAATATAGAGTCCTCAGCCGAACAGAAAGAAGCCCCCAGTGAGAATATTCACTTGCAAACCAAATTGCGCGCATAGAAGAGAACAAGAGCCCATCATACTCTTTACATCTAAAAATTAATCTCATACCACATCGATTAATTACAAGGAATTTATTGGATTTGTAAGGCCAGCTCAACATTAATCATTATATGAGCTATCTGGACCTTATTAGGCTTTTTGGCACTAAGTGGCCAAGCCCCCTATCCATGGCCTAGTGATTGGCCGCCCTTATAACCCGTACGATGCTTACACCCCTTGGCATGAATAATAGCTATAAAAAACTAAGTTCGAAAACAAGGGTGCCAAACCAACAAAACAAGTTTGGTACAAGCAAAAGGGTACCAAGACGGGCAAGACAGTCCTGGTAGCCCAAACATGAAATTTGCCTAAATATGATGCCAAGTGGGTACCAAGCCGACAAGACTGGCTTGGTGGTCGGGCAACAGGGGGACAAGCTAGGTACCAATTAGAGAGTCATACGACATGGTGTTATACTAGCCATAGCAACACGGTACCAAGCCGGCAAAGCAGGCCTGGTGGCTGGTACCAAGAGATGAAATTTGACTAATTATAGAGCCAAAGTGAGTACCAAGCCAACAAGACAGGCTTGGTATCATGTTATCAAACCTGCCAAAACTAAATATGAAATCTTATAGGTGGGGGCTCGTCGTTCATGATGTCGAGCTAAGAGGTTAGAACTTGATGATGACTTGGTGTAGAGCACCGAAGCAGGTCATATGGAGACTAAGTCCCAAGACGGGCTTGGTTGGCTCCAGGGTACCAAGTCGGCAGGGCAACAAGGCACTAACTTGATGAGATTGTAAAAACTAAGTATGGAGGCCAGTCAAACCGACAAGGCTGGCTTGGTAGTAGGGGCCGACATGACTGGCTAGGTGGAAGGGGGTATCAAGAAGGAGAGACAACAATAGCAGGAGCAAGATAGTAGCAACAAAACTAAGTGTGGAGTCTTGGGGGCTGCCAAGGGTGTGGTCGAGACTTTCTCATGGAGGCAACTCGTTGGCGGTTACCAAGATGGGGTAAGGAGTCCTAAGGCGGTTGGAGCAACAGGTCGGCTTGCAATTACTAGGGCGGTTACCAATGCAGTTAGACCTAGTGGCTATAAATAGGAGAAATGAAGAACAAGCAAGGGTTCCACAACCAACCATTTGACACACAATGTCAAACATTTATCTTTTCTCTACAAATTAGCCATAGCCTTAGTTTTCGAAGCTCTCACTGAACCTTCATAGGAGTAGGTGTTATTAACGTAGTTTGTTACCAAAAAAACCATCAAAAACATCAAACACCCTCGTTCGAACATTGTTCGGAGAGGTGTAGACCGTGTTTAAGATCGTTGTTCAAGAAGTCAAAGGTGCAAGCATTAATATCAAACACAAGAGTTTTGCTCACCGGAAATCAAATTGGCACACCCTGTGGGACACTGTGTGTTTGATTTGAGGGCTCCGCAACTGAGAGAACAAGAAGGTGATCTTCCACCTAGGTTTGTAAAAGAGCTAGTGGTCAGGTATAATCTTGAACAATTAGAAAAAAGTCGTGACGGAAATAATGGTGGGGCTAGAGATCAGTCATCACCGGCGCCATGTTTGGGTGTAAATGTCACCACCTTGTCTCTCCACCGGTCCTGGTGATAGAAATAAAATTAATGGAGTAGGCTGTGGTGGGATACACCAAAAAAATTGTATCTCAATTTGATTGTATCCATACTCGTCTAAATAGACTTTTGGATCAACTGGATAAGCTTTGCGAGATATATAAAAAATAATTGTAAGAATTTTTGCCAACTTTTGATAAAACCAGTGTTGAGATCAAAGGTTTTGACGAAAGATGGTGTAGATCCACCATCAGTGTTGCTACTGGGGATACGAGTATTCTGAACTTCAGTGCCGGATTGCTCAGCCACAATCAGAGAACTCATTGTCTCCGGTGACAAGTCAACCACCTCTTCAACGTGGTAGTTGTGAGTTGTGACGAGAATCACGCTCCCACGTTCACTACTCACATAAAGCAATGGCTTATACATACAGTTACTTTAGAAACTGCCTCAGAGGCTAGACTATACTTTAATGTGAAAGTTGGTGGAGGGCCACTCGCTAAAAATGTTCTCCCACAAGCTTGGCCAACACCACTGCCATCCATGCCCATGAAGCCTGGTGAATGCGAACCGTGAGGGGGGCTAGAAGGGTGGTATGAAAGCTTGCCACCTGACAAGTTGAAGGTAAAATGTCAGGCTAGGGGACATGTTGATATCAAGAAAAACGAAAAAATTGATTTGTCTAAGGACTCACCACATTTTTCAACTAAGTGTGGGGAGAAGGGCATATCTCCAGCTCCATGCAGTATGCAGAGAGGCATATCATCAAATGTGAAGAAGAAAGTGAGTGGCAAGTCTAAGCGGGTGTTGCATACCTGTGCCACCCATGATTTTCATCATTTTGAGAGCGTGTCAAAGAGTAGACAAGGAGGCAAGTTCGTGGCTAAAGCCCCGCATAGCATGCCAACCATGAATGGTCGACAGGGGAGCATGCCATCAACCACAAATAGTGGACAGATAGACGTTCCCAAGAAACCAACACAAATCCAAGACACACATGCTTGTAGTAAGCATGATAGTTTATCCACGTGTGGCAAGGGGGCACGTCGACAACAATAAAGAAGGGTATGGGGGGCATGTCTCCAACCAGTGAACAAGGGGGCATGTCACCGACAGTGAAGGAATGAGTGGGGGCAAGTCTAGGAGTGTTCATCACACCCAAGCCCTCTACGATTTACCATCAAGAGAGTGTGTTGAGTAATAGACAAAGAAGTCAGTCTATGCCTCACAACCCCCCATGGCATGCCGAACGTGAATGGCAGGAAAGATGGTATGAATAAGACATCTCGCACACACCAACCAGACATGGTCCTAGAAAGGACCAAGGATTGTTATGTGCTAAGTGTAAGGATCGTGAAGGCATAATGGTTGAACATGGTGAAGTTGGCCACATGGGTGGTCATAAATTTGTTAAACCCAGATACCCATCTTCTCAACCATATGAGAAGAGTAAGCATGTGTCAAGTTGGGGGAAACTAAGGCAGAAAACAAGTGGTAGTCCCTTAGATGAGTCAAAAGAGTTGAGAATGCCTACTGTACCACCTAAAATGAGGCAAGCACATCAGGGTCAATGTCAAAACCCCAACATATCTAGTAAGGTGGCAAAGACAGGGATCATAAGACCTCTTGCAAGCCCACCAAGACAGGACAAGTGGAATGGATACTATCCATTGTTAAGTTGGATTTCGGATACCCATGGGTAATACTCGTCCAGTATAAGAAATATTATTATATCTAAAGTTCAACATGTATGTCTTCAATTATAACACAAAACATAGATAATAAATACGGAAATCAACATGATTATAGTATTTCGTAATAGGAAAAACCGTCAATCTTAAAATATTGATTAATCGATAAAATAAAATGAAAATATAATACTATATAAAATAATTCATCTTTGAATCTAACATATCTATATAGTAAATAGCCAACATAAACTGTCGACTAGACAAAAACCTCGTTTGCTTCTAAAAGATTAAAGTCTGCTAGACTACAAATTATTCAAACACACTAAGTTACAACAATATGCATCAAAATAATTCAAATGTAAAAAATTATATGCAATAACCTATTACTATCTCATCAATAATTTTGTTAAGTTGGTCATCTCCAAGATGATTTAGGAGTCAGGAGAGGAAAGGCGGCGACATTGAGAAATTGAGAAAGTAAATTGTAGTTGGTTGAGAGGGTTGAAAATTTCAAGGATTTTGATAAATATAATTACATTTTAATCATCTTTTCTTATTTAATTACCTTCATGCTAATATTAATTTATCAAAATATGTTTATAATTTTTTTATGTATAGCAAAATACTTTGATGGGGCGGGTTTGGGTATGGGTATAGAGCGGGGGACGCTAAAACCATACCCGCCCCATACCTATCAAGTTCTTTGCGGGTTTTACTCATACCCGCCACAGTAGGATGGCAATCAAACCCATGGTCGCGGGTATGGGTAAATCCCGCAAACAGTTTGATGGGTATATGGGGTGGGTATGGTTTTAGCCTACCCCGCCCCACCAAGAACATTTCTTCACATATAAAAAGTACATTGATTAAATTGTAATCTATCATTAATAGCGAGGGTAACTCATGAAAATAAATAGTAGAAATACAATTGAGTGACCACTCAAATCAAAACATAATTCATTTCCTCCAAATCTTCTTTCACTCTTTGACTTTTTCCCTCATGTTAACAACATTATGTTAGTAAGTTATCACTTAATAGATGTACCAAAATCAGAGAATAATGATTTGGCTTATATGGTTACTCTATCTTATGGATTATTGGATGTTTTAGAATAAGATGCTTAGAATCGTATTAAGAATGATTCTTTGTCGACTTTATGAAATAGTAGGTGCGTTTTGTATTATAATTGAAATTTTTGTATCTAAAATTTTAGCTATTATAATGTTGGATGTACGGGGCGGGCATTACCCATGAGTATCTGAAACCCACGGGTATGGGGATGGGTTTGCAAATCCTTCCCCCACATGCGTATGGGGCGAGTATGAATTTGGATATTTGAAAGCGGGAATATGGACGGTTTAGACAAACCCGCCCCAAACCCGCTCCATTGTCATCCCTACATCCTAGGAGTATCTCCATATCAGCCGGTTGATTCTCTTCCTCCGGTTGCTCGTCGGCAAACTCTATATATTTGCCCAAACAAAAACAAAAGGAGGGAAGAAGGAGAAAAACACTTACGATCGATCGGGAGAAACAAAGGAGAAGCTAGGGTGTTGCCTATACATACAAGGATGGGATAGTTAGTTTAGTGATTTTTATCTTTCAATATTAGAGCCGGACAATAGTCTGAGAGAGAGTTTGTCATTCATTACAACTAGCAATGGCTTGCTACACCACATTTGCTGCATCACTAATGGCGATGGTTGTTGTCCTAGCCGGCGGGGGGCATTTGCGCACTTCCCTTGGAGCCCCAATTTGCGGCGACACTCCGGCTACAGATCAGACCAGTTTCGCGGGTTATGCACGTAGCGTTCTTGACATTCTGGTGAAGGACACGGCAAGTTGGCTCCCAGATAAGTTCAACTATGACGTGACGATTCCAGTAGAAGGCGGTCCTGGTTCCGCTTCCGGCACCGGCACTTGTTATGATCAGGGACACAAAACTGCCGAGGATTGCGGGAAATGCCTCTCACAACTGCAGCCGCAGTTGGAGAAATGCACAACCACCTCTTCGACCGCAGGAGCTTTCTATCAAGGAAGGTGCATGATTCAACTCTGGGAAAACAAGTACTAGTTGGATCACCAAATACATCGATTTATCTTTCAACGTCTGGGATATGGCATTCTTACTTGCAATACAACACGATGTGTGTTGGCTTTGAAGTTGTAGTTTCTGATTCAGTTTCATTTCCAATAAAGTTTCCTTCAGCTGTTCGCTGAGTAAGGCCCATTTTCTCCTTTTGCTTTTATAGTGATGAAGACAATGTTACGGAAAAGGGTGCAAGATGTTAGTGTTGTGGTATATGATCCACGATTGAACCTCTCCCAATAACTCGAGTTATTGGGAGCAACTGGTTCTTGACACAATAAACAGTATCAAAAAATGCAGCATAAGAAGTGAAAAACCCAGAAAATAAGTAGCTTAACCGCAAAAAATTTGCGCAACAACCCATCAATAGATTCTATGTTTTCACATTCCAGTTTAGAGGGGATAGAAATATTTGAAATAACTCTTTGCTTTTTGAAGGTGTAGTTCGAAAAGAAACCAATTCCTATTCTTTTAAATAATCGAAAAGCAAATCGATAATCAAGGTTCTGCAACGACACAGCGAGGCAATTTGTTGCGCAAGTGTTTGTATCCTCCTACAGCAGAAACTAATATCTACTGTAGAAGCAAGCAGACACGAAAAAAAATGTCTCTTTAACAAGAATAATTCAGCAACCAAACAGTGCAGACAAAGGAGATCAAGTGACCAACTAAGATAAATACTTCTTCTCATCAAACCTTCAAGTTAATATGGCAGTAGAGCACTAAATTGATGCAACTGTAACCTAAAGTCACAAATCCAGGACTGGATACAAGATTTCTAATTCAGCAAACATCATACAGAGCAAACAAATTCGATGCAAACAAACAATTCAATGCGACGTAAAACAGCAACTAAACAACAGAAAACTACCGCCTGTGAAGAAATGACGACCTAACTTCAACAAATATCACCAACAAGGGGAAACAGACACCTTAGGAAACCAGGGAAGAGCACGACCGACCAAACAACCAAGCATCGTAGGCAAGGAAAAATGAACGAGACTGGTCAAACGAGATTGATTCATGAGATTAGGATACAAAACCAAGGCAGCATGTAAGTTGTAACATGGCGCAGAACTCTTAAACAGATGGTAAATCAAAGTATAATTTCTACTTTCTTCAGACAAAAGTTCATTCCAAACAACAGAGAAACCAATATAATCTATTAACTCAGAAACTTGAGCTTGAAACAATATGTAGCTTCAGGATGAAATGACAGAACAATTACCAGCTAACCATAAAATTGAATCCCCAATTAGGTGATACAATTATCTATCGGGGGACTAAAATGCAGCAACGATTGCAATCTCGAAACACCCTTCAATCACAATCCAACATAGCTCTAGGCAAAACACCCTGCCATACAATCTATAAGCAGCATTTCACTAATACGAAATATTGGATGCTCCCAGCACACATTACTTCAGCAGGACAATTAAACAAACCACACAAGCATTAAGGAAACTGATCAACCATACCAGAACAATATGGCCAACAACAGTATCACATTCAAGCTAATTGCGAATTCAAAATCGTCCAAACTGCAGAAATCAAAACATCAACATTCTTAAGCGGACTGTGAAGCAGAATCCTCTTAACAAACCAAAACCCCCTTAGAACATGAGCTACTAAGTTCCACTCTCCCTAAACAACAAAATTCATGAACTCAGAATCAAAACAGCATCCATCCTCGAACCATAAAACGAAACGACTGTAACAACATAAGCAAACCAGCAGAGACCTTTCAACGGTAAGACTTCTGGAACCTTGAACGGGCACCACGACCACCAAACTTCTTGGGCTCGCAACGCCTGGGATCAGCGACCAGCAAAGTCCTGTCGTACCTGATCAAGAGGTCCTTGATCTCCTTCTTGCTCTGCTCGTCGACGAACTTCTGGTAGAAGGCAACGAGGGCCTTGGCAATGCTCTGACGGATGGCGTAGATCTGAGAGGTGTGACCGCCTCCCTTGACGCGGATCCTCATGTCGACGCCGGCGAAGCGGTGTCTCCCGAGGAGGAGGATGGGCTCGACGGCCTTGAAGCGGAGGATCTCTGGCTCGACGAGCTCGATTGGAGTGCCATTGAGCTTGATGAGCCCCCTTCCGCGCTTGCAGTGGGTGACGGCGACCGCGGTCTTTTTGCGGCCGAAGCACTGGACTGACTCGGTGGGGGTCGGAGCCGCAACTGCCGCCATGGTTGGTGTTGTCTGGAAGGAAAAGCAGAGAGCGAGCGAAGAAACCCTAATTACAGAGTGCTGCAATCTATGGAGAAGGCGAAATGGAGGCGTCGTTTATGTTTTATGTAACCGGGTGGGGACTAGGGTTTTATTAGATGGACGAGGGTAGAGTGGCTGAAAGAGGCCCAAAAAATGCTCCACTTCATAGAAAAGCATCGGCCCAAGCCCAACACAAAACAACCGAGCCAAACCTTTGTAGCCCAATGAGAAGTTGTTAAATTGGCCTGGCAGTCTGGCACACTATGTTTGAGTTGAGTGAGTAAATTTGAAGAATGAATGTGCAAAAAACTTCAGTTTAATCTGCCAACATCTGTAATTTTACTACTATGGTACAAATAAGAACGCATCAAATCTCAGACTGATCAATAAGGCAAATCGGTGGTGTATCTAATTAAATGAAATCTTGATTTCGTTTCTTTTTTAATATTATTCAAAATTTGAGCTATTTTGTTGGTCTCTTATTGTATAAAATGCTAGATACTTGTATGATGTATCTACAATCAGAAGTATTTATCGTGACTCAACAAATTTTGTTATCTTCAAGCATGAACGGATTGGCTCCATTTTCAGGATACTTTGACTGATGATTTTTCGTTAAATAAGTGTTAATATAATCGGGAGTTAGGGGTGGCATTCGGTCGGTTCGGTTCATACTGAACAAAAATAATGCATACCGAATCCCCGAATTTCATCAAACCTCAAACCAAATTCGAACCGAATTATGATTCAGCTCGGTTGGTTCAAACCGAATTATAATTCGGTTCGGTTTTTCATACAAAACCGAACTTGTGAGGTTAACTTGTATGTTCTCTCTTTTAAATGATTTTTCACTACAAATGTAAACAATAAATATGCAATTATATGTATCATCAATGATAAAATCAAACATTTCAACACATAAGTCATAAAACACTAAGATGATTCAAATATTTAAGTCTCATGATAAGTACAAACATAAAAATCCACCATTTTGGAGCTTGCTATTATAGTAATTCGGTTATTCGGTTCGGAATTCAGAAATTCGGTTCGGGCAAAAGGACCCTGATTTCCGAAATATGTCATTTACTCTTCCGAATTTCAAACTGAATAACATTAATCCGTTTCGGTTCAGTTAGGTTCGGTTCGATTTTACCAAACCGTATGTCCACCCCTATCACGAGTGACGTGGTGTCTACATGTTTGCCACATACATATATGTCAATTGAGTCACTGATTTATATAAATTATATTATTAAGATTAACAGTCATCCATATAGTTAGGTCGTCATTTGACCCATCTCAATAATTTAATTTACAACATTTTTTTAATTTTCATTTGTACTTGTCCAAATGATTTTGATCATTTTAAGATATTGTCTCACTATTATTACTCGAGTATGCTTAGGAGTCGTTTGGTTTTCTTATAGTTAAATAAATGTGTTGTAATCAACATTTGTATTAATTATGTTTTCAATAATTAAAAAGGAAAGTTACTTTTTAACTGAAATGTCACTTATATCACTTCTTTTCAATGCTAAGGGTAAAAAGAAGTGGATAAAACTAGAAGATAAAAGAAGAGACAATAATCACAACTAAACAAACCCAATAATCTCAAGCAAAAAATATATTTACTTACTGTGCATAAAAATAAAATAAAATAATATATTATAGATACATAAGCATTGGTTTGGAGGTTAGGATTTCAATTGATGTATTTAGCGAACACATGTAATGTGAAGATATAGTCTTTTTTTATTAATTTGAATTAGAATGCATGTATTTACTTTTTCTGGGCCCACTTATAATTATTCATAATGAAAAATTGACAATCTCTACCCAAAGTAGAGATTGTAAAGGAATGATTGTTTGCCAAATTTTCATTTCAGTTTTGTCCATTATTATTTTTCTTTATTTCATAAATGTCCTCGTCAAAAAGGTTGGAGGAGAAGGAATAATAAATTAAGGGGAATTGTGTCTTCTAGCCCTAAAAATTGTTTTGTTTTCATTTACTTTTAACTACACATACAAAAATTGGACCTATTTGTAAAGCTTGCATAGTTTATGTACCAATATAAGACCAAAAACAATATGTACTAAAATGTAATTTTTCATCGATATTTTGAGGACTTTTATGCAAAAAAAGTTTATGTACTAAATATGCATTTCTATTCAGTTTACGTATCAAACTGTAATTTACATTTGGGCATGGGTACAAACCCAAATCCATGTGTTAAAAACCCAACCCAACACAAGTAAATGGTTATGGGTACAAACCCATCAAACTTTACCCATCTACTATCTATTTGGATTTCATACCCAACGCAATTGGGTTTGATAGTAAAATACCCATGGGCATGAGCAAAATTGTCATCCATAAATACAACAATTGATTAAATACATCAACCGAGAGATTCTCAACTTCGAAACAACCCTAAAAAAAAAAACAAACCAGCCCTTAGTAATCCAATGGAAAATTGTACTCAACAAAAGTGAAATACCAAATAGGAAATATACTATATACGTTCAACCCTTAACAGTCTTCCTGTCTACTATTGCTCTATGCTCAAGGCTCCCAAGACGGTAGTGGATCAGATCGATAAGATCCAGCGAAGGTTCCTATGGAATGGGTTGAGTGAGACTAACAAGTTTCATCTTATTAGCTGAGATATCTGCAAAGCTGACATAGATCGAGGTGGCATTGGTATGGTCGACTTGGAAAGTTTTAACCATGTTCTCCTTGGAAAATGGTTATGGAGATTTGCAACTGAGAGAGAAAGTTGGCGGTGTCAGCTCATTGTTGTTAAGTATCCCGATCGGAATTCAGAATGGAAAACTAGAAACAACAGGAGAGGATTTGGCAGTTTAGTTTGGGTTAGTATCTCCAGAATCAACAACCTCTTTTGGAAAGGGGCTTGCATAGATCCTGGTGTTGGTTATAATGTTTCCTTTTGGCACGATGTTTGGATACCTGGAGTTTGTTTGGCCGACAACTTTCCCAGAGTCGCGGCTGCAACTATCCATCTGGAAGCTAAACTCTCTGAGACTGTGAACTGCAATGGTGAGAATACTAACATTAATATCCCTCTATCTATTGATCTACGTTGGGGGCTGAAAGAGAGGGTTAGACTTTTTTTATCTTATTTTGGATAATCGTCTGGGATTATCCTGCGGTCCTTGTTATGTGGTGTGGGTTCCAGATATTGGGTCGTCGTTTTCAGTTAATGCCATGTACAGGTTTCAGGGGGGGAGGGGGGTTGCTCCGAAGAGACCATCAATCACTTATTCATGGATTGCATGTTTACAAGAGACATCTGGAGAATGATTTCCAATGCAGCTAGCACCTTCAGAATCCCTTCTGGTGATCAAAGACGGGATTGCGTAAATGTTTATCCGGTTTTCGGTTACAATCGATACGGTTTAAACTAGTGAATTCCGGTTTGACCGAAAAATTAAGATCGAATACCCTACCCTTTTTTATAACACGTAATAAACCAACTGGTTTCCAATAACTCGAGTTATTGGCAGAGGTCCATATATGATACTTGAACATTTCTTACAATTTGCTGCTACCTCCGGCCGGAGCAGTAGCATATCTATAACTGTATTTTTTTTTTAGGTTATCGGCATGATTATTATTCCTTCCGGCAGAATGCCCTACGTACCGACCTAAACCTAACCCTACAACATGAATTTTTCCGCTCCTTCACGTTACGACACTTCATTAATCTTCAAACTATTATATAAATAATCGGTTTACGATTCATGCAGTCTTGTGTATGCAAGATGAAATTAAAGAAGTATCTCTCTATTGTATCAGCCGGTCGATTCGCATTCTCCGGTTGCTCGTCGGAAAAAGTCCATATAGTGCCCAAAAACAAAAGAGAGAAGAAGGGGGAAAACACTACCGATTGACCGAGTGGCCGCCGGGAGAAACCAACTAAACGACAAACGGTTCGTCTATATATATATAAGATGACGGGACACTAATTAAGTGGGATATATCTCTCAATATTACAATTAATAATTAAATTCATAATGGGTTACTACTACACCAGTGCATTTGCTGCATCGCTAATGGCGACGGTGATCATTGTCCTAATCGGCGGGGGGAATTTACGCACTTCCTTTGGAGCTCCAATTTGCGGCGACACTCCGGCGACCGATCAGTCCACGTTCGCCGGTTACGGACAAGGACTTCTTGACATTCTGGTGGGGGAGACGGCAAGGTGGGTCCCAGATAAGTTCACCTACGGCGCGACGGTTCCGAGAAATGGAGGTCCTGGTTCCGCTTCAGGCTTTGGCACTTGCGTTGATCAAGGACCCAAAACTGCTGAGGATTGCAGGAAATGTCTCTTCCAACTGCAGCCGCAGTTGGAGGCATGCCTGTACACCTCTTCTACCGGCGGAGCTAGCTATGAAGGAAGGTGCATGATTCAATTCTGGCAAAATTACTAGTAGTAACTAAGTTGAATTATACCAAATATTGGTGTTGTGTTTGTGGTGCGCACGTGCTATAAATATATGTTACACCTGACTGTGTATGCTTTAGTGTCTGGGGGATATGGCTTTCTTAATTACTTGCAATGGACCATATGATGTATATTGCGCTTTGAAGTGTAATATGTGCAACCTTGGCACATGTAAGGAAGTACCAATGTATTAATTAATTGATAGAAATATCAAATCAAAGAATAGCAACAAGAATATGTTGGCAACCTCCATTGCGAGGATATGTGACATTAGGACTGGCTATTTGGTTCGGATTGTTGTTTTTACTCGAAACCGAACCGTATAACCCGGACCGAGACCTGACTGGGACTGGATAGCGAACAATCTAATCTCATATTCGGGCTTAGATTTGAGGTAAAAAACCGTTTGGGACCGGATCGAAAACTGGATAAATACCAGATAAGAGAATCCAACACACAGAACTTAACCAACTCCTCACCCTTTGATGCCTAAGGCCACTCAAATCCCCACAAGTTCAATTTAAAATCATGACCAAATTGGAACCGCACCGGATCAAGACCGGACTGTATAGTCACCCCTACGTGACATCGTCACCAAAAATAGAAGATATCATCATAGGATGACGTGAATAATTATTCGAAAAAATAAAAGAAGATAAACATAAATGAGAGTGCTAACAAAATCACTAAGAAGAGCGTTGATACAATCCTGGATAGGGGTGTCAGTCGGTCGGTTTCGGTTTAACCAAAAACTGAATTCTCGGCTATCGGTTAAACCGAGCCACCACCCTCTGCTGCCCACCACCGACCGTAAGAGGCATTATGGCTAGCCGACCACCGACCGGTCGGTTATCTGTTTTGGCTCGGTTAGCCGCACACCCGAAAAAGCACTCCCTTCTCACAAAAAAAATTCATTAAAACTATTAAAAAAATACAAAATCCCCCACCACTCAAACCTTATCTCCTGCCTCCTTCTCTCTCCTTCCTTTCCCCATTCAAACCCCACCACTCAAACCTTATCTCCATTCCTTCCTTCTCCCTCCTTCCTTCTGCCATAGCCAAACCACACTCCTTCCTTCTCCCTCCTTCCTTCTGCCATAGCCAAACCACACAAAACCCAAAATCTGTCTATCATCTCCACACAAACTCCTAACCCAATATTCTTCCTACCCGATTCAACCAGAGCTGGCGGACAAGGCAATGGCGCTGCTGGAAGCCGTCGCGATCTCGTCGGAGAGAGCAGTGGGTTAGGCCGCGGTAGGGATACAGGTGCTGGTGGAGATGGTGGAGGAAGGCAGCCCACAGGGGAAAGAACATGTTGTTGGGGTTCTGGTCCTCATATGCCAGAGCTCGAGGGAGAAGTACAGAGGGTGATTCTGATGGAAGGCGCCATGCCCGGTTTGCTGCAGCTGAGCGTCGATGGGAGCTGGAGAGCGAGGGGTTTGGCTCAGGAGCTGCTGATGATGCTTCGAGGGAATTGCGATGGTGGGTCAAGAGGGAAGCAGTGTAAGCAGGAGATGGTGGAGAGGGTGATGCAGGAGATCGATGATGCTTGAAGGGGGGAGAGTTTTGTTGAGATCTAGGGTATGAGGAGGAGAGTGGAGGTGGAGATGATAGGCAGATTTTGGGGAAGGTTAAGTGGGTCTCGGTTGGGGTCGGTTTGTCGGATAACCGCGGTTAATCACCGTCGGTTACTCGGTCAACCAACCCATTTCTTTTCCCAGCCGACCACCGACCGCCAAGGTAACTGGTCTGTTTTCGGTTAGCTTATAACCGGTCTGGAGGATTGATTGAAGTGGAAATCATTCTTTATTGTAGTTGAATTGAAGGAAGGAAAACCTTACAACAAGCTCAAGTGATGAGCTTTTATAGCCTGATTTCTTGGGAGAGAAGAGAGAAACGAGTGGAAAAATTAGTCTTATTTTCTGCAATGTTTCTCGGGATCAAGTTCTAAATATTTTGGTTACATTGGTTTGCTTTCAAGCAATTACCGGTTTGGTTTGGGTTTAGGTAAACCCATGGGTACCCGCTCACACCCATATAATTAATTTATTCGTGTTATTGAATATTCTTAGCAATATATCTTCATTAAACAACTAATCTTATTTATATTTATGGAGACATGTCTAATTTGTTCTTTCTAATTATGCACAATGAAATTGATATTATGGTCATTGTAAAAAAAAAGTTGATATTATGGAGTGGAGACTGAAGACACTTAGTTGACGAGAAAGAAGCATTCAATTAATCATGTTGTTTATAGATGTTTATCTTAAATTTTTGTATAGATAATTTACGGTTTGCTTGTATGCTCTAGAATGGTGTTTTTGTATAGATAATTTTTATGAGAAAAGTGACGTTAGACTTTTATTTTGAAAGAAACTTGGTATTGTAAATTTTTTACCACAAAAATCCACGGGTACCCAGCGGGTTGGATTGGGTTTGAGTTTTTCAAACCCAGCGGGTTTTACCCCGGGTTTTTTGGCAGATAAACCCATGGGTTTGGGTTTAGCAAAACGCCCAAACCCGACCCATTGCCATCCCTACTCCTATTTAATCTATTCCCACCAATTCCACTCACTATCACCTAGGGCTGGGAATTCGGTCTCGGTTTTCCGGTCAAACCAGAAACCGGGCAGTTAAAACCGTTCCGGTTGCAACCGGAAATCGGATACCCATTAACCCAATCCAATTTACAGTTATGGTGAAGGTATAAAAAACTGGGCCGGTCCAGTCGGGTTAAAACAGGAAAAACCGGATAGTAAATTATAAAGCCCAACCCAACCCAGCCTAACTATTAAAGCCCACTACCCCAACTCCACAAGCCTGCCAGCGACCCAGCCCAATCCAGCCAATCTCACCCAGCCCGCTCCCTAACCCTAATACCAGACTCTCTGTTCTCTTCCCACTCTCCCAGGAGCCGTCGAGCTCAATCATACAACATATTTCGATTCCCAAAAACTCTTATCAACGAAAAAAAGACAGACACCCACCCTCAACTCGCAACTCACTCACCTCATCGAGCTCTTCCCATTCTCGATTTCTCTATCCTCCTTCACCCAAGTCTGTGGAGAGAAGAGGCAGAGCAGCAGCAATGGCGAAGAGGCGAGGCGAGGCTCTAGTGGCGGGACAACCATGTCGGTCAGAGGTGGAATCCGCGGAGAGTTGAGACTAAGCAGCAACACCGGCGAGGCGACGTTCTAGTGGAGTGGCAATCGGCGATTGCATGTCGAATCTGAGATGAAAAGAAGACTAGCAGCAACAGAGTTTTGGACCAGGGGATGGAGGTCGACGCAGCGATCGGGGAGGGAGGTCGTGGTGGCGGCCGGGAAGGGAGGAGGATGGGAGAAAGGTCGAGAAAGGCCAAGGAGAGTGGTTTGGATTTCTTGGTACCAGAAGAGAGGCATTGAGATGAAATTGAATGGAATGAGAGATGGAAAAGATGAGACTATGAGAGAGACGATAACAGTGGGAATGGGTCTTGTGTCTGGCTTTCTTTTTCCAATTGAACGGATGCGTTTTGGGATGGAAGAAGGAGATCCGGTTTTTCGGTTGAAACCGGATCAATCCAGTCCGGTCACGGTTAAAACCGTGCACCAATCCAATCCCGTGTACGGTTGGGTATATATCCAATCCGGTTATAAAAAACCGGGTCAATCCGGTTCGGTTTAAAACGAACCGGACTGTTTCCAAGCCCTACTATCACCATCAGACGTGATTAAAAAATAGAAATTAATATTTAATATAGTCATTTCCTAATTTATCCTTATGAGGTTGGACGATATTTACCTCCAACCCGGTATGGATGCTCTCCCTACAACCGTCCACATGTGCTCATTCTATTGACGGAATAATATTTAATTTTTCTTTTCTGTTACAGTTAATCATTAATGACTAACAGAAGGAACAGAGACGGAAGAATCATTTCTTCTCTTTTACCATGCAACCTTTTTTTGTGGGTGTCCTTCAATAAGTCGGTAAAAGGATTGCATAAATTTAGAATTTAACTAAACATAATAATAATTTTTTATGTATTTCATAATTTGTGATATTATTTATTGGATTTAAATATAAATATTTGAACGTTGATGTTAAATGTTGTATTTAATTATGGTTTGGGTTCTGGTACAAATCTCAGCTTGCAAAAACCCTCCATGTCATATCATTGTATCACGACATCGTATCACCCTACGACTGAGACTTTTCAGGCCGAGAATGTGTACCCTATATGTTCCATTTAAATATTAATGTTTTTTATTTTATTTGTAATGTTTTATTTTATTCAAATATAAATGTAGATTTTTTTATAATATGTTTTATACATGGTTAAATTTATTCGGTGTTAATGATATTTCACATGAATACTTATTTTGTTTAATTGATATGACAGTACTCCTAGTTAAAATTAATATTATGTTTAATAGTACTTAAGTGTCATAATATATAAAATTATATATTTTATAAATAATATTAAAGTTAACAATTTAATTCATTCAAATGAGCCAATACGTGAGTAAGAGATATGAAAAGATTGCATAATAAAAGAGAGGAAATTATTCTTCCGTCTCTCACTTTCCGTTAGCATTAATGGGGTATTAGAAAAGAAAAAGCAAAATATTTATTTCAGCCTTTAAACTGAGCACACGTGGATGGGTAGTAGGGCAAGCCTCCATAATCTTAGGTCACAGAATTCACCAGGAAGGGGTCGACGCTCCCGACTTGGAGTGCGGAAACGCGAACTAGAAGGGATCCGTATAAAATTCACGAATTACTTTCTATTGGAGCGCGAATTTTGTAAACTAATTCGCGACTTTGTTTCACAGAGACAGCGGAAGGAGAAGTGTCAGCAATATTGACTGCCGAAATGGTGGAGGAGATGAAATCGCTGGTTGGGTTGATGAAGGAAGTTGGGAAGAGGCTGGAGTCTCTGCATGCATCCGAAAGTACTTTAGCAATTGAGGAGATCTTGAAATATATTTGGGGAGAACGCGGATAAAAGACCTGCTAGAATGTTCAGTGGGAGAGAGAGAACGACGGTGACGACGAGGGATTTCCGAAAGTATGTTTTATAGTCTCCGTCGCTACACTACCATGAGAGATGCGATGGTGGAGTAGAAAGAAGAGATAAGCGAGAGGAATTTCCGAAAATGCTTCACTACGATGGGGAAACTCAGTATTGAAATTCTACCATGCTTAATTTTAGGGATTTGAAATTCTATAGAGAAAGGGCATAGTTGAAGAAGAAAGAAACAGAGGAAGAAGACAGAATAAAGGAGAAATAATACCTTACTCTCGTCAAATGTCAACTTAGTTGTGGCTCCAAATGGATATGGGCTTAAAATAGTACTAAGTAATAGTTAAACCTTAAAACAAAAGCCCACTTTTACAAAACCAATATACTAAACAAAATCCACGACACAAAAATTAGCTCGGGGACATTATATTACCTTAGGTATGAAATTAATTAATAGTTTAGTACAAGTAGCAATTACAACTTCTATTCTTTTGTCCAAGTTGTGTTGGTATATTATATAATATATTAATTAAAATAATATAATATGAACGCTCTTTTAACGCTCTCAAAATATAATTCTCACAACATAGACGCTTTCGCGCTCTCATTCTCGGTTTGCTTCAGTGCTAATCTGGTGGATCAAGAGGCAGCCGCAATGGCAGCTCTGCTTGGGATTTCTTCAATCGGGCCGCTAGACAAGTATCTTGGCCTACCTGCTCAAGTCCAGAGATCGAAGGTTCAGACTTTTCTTTTCGTGGAGGATGCCCTCGCGGTTCGCATCCAGAGTTGGCGATCTAAAGGCTTTTCGCTGGTTGCAAAAGAGGTAATGATTAAGGAGGTTGGATCAGCAACTCCGGTCTACACCATGTACTCCTTCAGACTCCCCTCCACCACTTGTCGTCGATTAAACAGCCAGCTGGCTAAGTTCTGGTGGGCTGGTCAAGATAAAGAAAGAGGGATGCACTGGATTTCCTAGCCAGCGATTTGTGTTAGTAAATTTCGTGGAGGTTTGGGGTTTCGGGATTTTGATCTGTTCAATGTGGCAATGCTTGCCAAACAAGCTTGGAAAATTCTCTCGGCTCCGAACTCTCTCCTGGCAAGGCTCTACAAGGCGCGGCATCACTCGCAGTGTCAGTTTCTCGATGCACCAGCAGGGTCTCGCCCTTCGTGGGCATGGCATGGGGTCTTGGAAGGTCGGTACTTGCTCAAGAAGGGGTTACGGTGGCAGGTTGGGTGTGGGTCTGCTATCCGTATTATTGGCGACCCCTGGCTACCTTCATCGCCTCCTTCTTCTCCCATTCTGCTGTCGGGTATCTCGCTCTTGAACCCTTTTGTTGCTTCACTTATTAACCCCATTACTCGGACCTGGAACGTGGAGTTAATATGTACCTCCTTCATCCCCGAGAGCGTTAACTGGATTCTCTCCATCCCTCTTCCTTCGGCACCTTTACCGGATAAGCTGATATGGCACTACTCCGCGACTGGCCTCTACAACGTCAAGTCTGGGTATCAGTTGCTAGCCTCAGAAAGGGAGCTTGAGTTTGATAATCTTCCTCTTCATCTTAACACCGCGTTCTGGAAGACCCTGTGGAATTTGCCGATACCGCCGAAGCTCAAGTTCTTCTTGTAGCGTGTCGTGCGCGGCTTCCTTCCTATGCGATCGATACTATTGGGGAACAATCTTTCCGAGTGTGACATTTGCCCCGTTTGTTCCGAGTTAATTGAGAATATTTCTCACTGCTTCTTTGAATGCAGAGTTGCGCGTGGAGTGTGGTTACTTGCAGGGAAGGAGGGGATTCGAACAGCAATGGCCAGTCTAACCCCTGATCTTGCATGGCATAAGCTCTTTTTTCTTTGCATCTTTCCAAAACTGAAATTGCAGAGGTTGTGTTCATTACCTGGAGCATCTGGAAGGGCCGCTGCTGGTCAATATATGATAAAATTCAATATCTCCCTGGTCCACTCTACCAGCAATATACCAAGCAATCAGAGGAATGGTGGGAGGCCACTGCAGCTCCGCAAAGTCGGGTGCCAACTTCGGGTCAATCTAGGAGCCTACCGCCATCTCCAACCTGCCCAAACGGGGGTCTGCTAATTAGGTTCGATGGTGCAACGCGTCGGGGAACAGGAGGCAGCATAGGCTTTGTTGGGTTCACTGTCGACAGGTCAGTTGTCTGCGCGTACGGTAAGTCTTGTGTTGGTATTTCAGATCCCTTCCTAATGGAACTTCTGGCTTTGCGAGATGCAATGGTATGGAGTCTAAACCATGGTTACTTGTCTGTTTGCTTTTGTGGGGACTCCCAATTGGTGATCCGGCGAGTAACGGAGGGTGATGTCAGTCATGATCGAGGCGGAGCAGTACTTGAAGAAGTGCAGATGCTAAAGACTTCATTTGCTCTTATTTCTTTTATTTATGCTCCTCGTAGTACTAACAGGGCTGCCCATCGCGTAGCACAAATGGCCCTTACATCGGTAGCAAACCTTTTGGTTGACTACCGCTCTTTCCTTTCAAATGCATTGTAATTCCCTATCTATTACGAACTATCTATGGCAAAAAAAAATCATCTTACCAGATCAACTATAAGCAACCTCTCACCTAAATAAACTTCACTGCTCCGCAAAGCAACAACAAACTATGGACATGCTAAGACTAGGGATGACAAAAATATCCGTAACGGTGGATATCCGTCCGAATCCGGGCTAATGGGGTAGGGTAAAACCCAAATCCGAAGGACATTTAATGGGTACGGGTAAAATCCGAACCCGAATATTGCGGGTAATGGGTGGGCATGGGTTTCTCACTATCCAACCCGAACCCGCCCGATTATACACATGCTTATGTATTTTGTCTAGAAATAAGCATTATTTTTCTCTAACATTTTTATATTTAGCATATAAATATCATATATTCATGAAATTGTGTAGTTTTAATTAATTTTCTTCATTCTAGTGAATAATTGTCGTACTTTTCCTCTTACGTAATGTGAGAATACGTGTGAATGTTAACATATTTGTTGGAGTTATGAAGAGAAATTATTACCCATGAATAACCGTGGATACCCGAAACCCGAACGGGTATGGGCATGGTTTTGATTTTTTACCCGTTTAACATGTGGGTATGGATATGAGTAAAACCCGAACTATTATAGGTAGGGTAACGAATATGCACTATCCGCACCCGATCCAATCGATTGTCATCCCTAGCCAAGACCCATTTTACTAAGATTTCTATTTTAGTAGACTTATTTATGTTTCATACGAAACTCTGTTCATTTAAACCGCGAGTATTGTTCTTATATATATTTTTTATTATTTCGAATCAACTACCTTAATCACTTTGAATATTTGTAAAATTAACCAAATCTCCACCATCAACATTTACAATTTTACATGGCTAGTTAGCTATTATTATTCAAGTGTGTAGTCTGACAATAATCATTACCCCACAAGACAAGAGAGAGGTTCTGGTTCCGGCCGGAGCAGTGGCTTATCTATACCGTTTTATTTCGAGGTTGTCGGCACGATGATTATTCCTTCCGGCAGAATTTATGCCCTACGTACCTTTCCTAACCTACAGCATGAACTTTTCCGCTCCTTCAACGTAACGACACTTCATTAATCTTCAAAAGAGAGAAGAAGGAGAAAAACACTACCGATTGACCGAGTGGCCGGGGGAGAAACAAACGACAAGGGGTTTCGTCTATATATATAAGATGATGCAATAATTAATAGTCTCCTGAGTTTGTCATCCATTTTACAATTAATAATTAATAAATTCATAATGGGTTACTACTACACCAGTACATTTGCTGCTGCATCGCTAATGGCGACGGTCCTTGTCCTCCTAGTCGGCGGGGGGCATTTGCACACTTCCTTTGGAGCTCCAATTTGCGGCGACACTCCGGCGCCCGATCAGTCCACGTTCGCTGGTTATGCACAAGGGCTTCTTGACATTCTGGTGGAGGAGACGGCGAGCTGGGTCCCGGAAAAGTTCACCTATAGCACCACGGTTCCAAGAAATGGAGGTCCTGGTTCCGCTTCAGGCTTTGGCACCTGTGTTGATCAAGGACACAAAACTGCCGTGGATTGCAGGAAATGTCTCTTTCAACTGCAGCCGCAGTTGGAGACATGCCTATACACTTCTTCGACCGGAGGAGCTAGCTATGAAGGAAGGTGCATGATTCAGTTCTGGCAAAATTACTAGTAGTACGTAAGTTGAATTACCGAATACATCTACTTGGTGTTGTGCGTACGTGCTATATATATATATAACACCTGCGTATGCTTTTAGTGTCTGGGATATGGCTTCCTTACTTGCAATGCAACATGATGTATATTCCGCTTTGAAGTTGTAGTTTCGTTTCAGTTTCATTTTCATTTTCCAATAAAGTTAGATTCCAGGCCCAAGGGCGGACCCACCTGTTAGCAAGGTATGTCGCCTGAAACACGTTGGCCCGGAATGTTTGTCAGAGACTCACGTTTTTTCGGTGTAAAATATTGGAATGCACGCGATAACTTCGACACATTTTTGATAACTGTTACCGAGACACATTGTTAAATTACAAAATATCTAATAGTCATAAAGTTATTGAAATATATAATTATAGAAATTATCGGACTTCAGACTATGTAGTTAATTAGTTGGTTATACAGGAGTAAAGAATTAATTGGCTACATGGTTGGTACGTAATGAGTGTTCAGAGAGATAACTATCACATTAAGGATAACCTACGTCATTTGAATGAAAATTAAATTGATTAATAAGAGTTAGTCAAGTAATTAGCAAGAGGGTCGACCGATAATTTGCATACACATTTTATTGCATCACTTTCCTTTTTTTTAGTTGAAAAAAAAATTAAAAATTCATCCCACTAACATTAAAACTTGTTCATCTGCTTACCCTTTTTAGTTCAGATTTTTCATCTCTTTTTCTCTCTGTTGAGTGTCACGAGAAATAAAATCCTCAATCATTCACAGCTCTATGCTTTCTGCTATATAGGGTTGGCTATTTGGTATGGGTTTTCCAGTTTAAGCTGAACCAGGATCGTATAAACCAGGACCATTTGAGATCGGGAGTAGATGTAAAACAATCAAATTTCGTCTTTGGTCCCAAAAATAGCATAAATTGGATCAATCCTGTAAGCCCAAAGCCCACTAATCACTACTGTCGCCAGGCGCCAGCCCTCTCTAGTCTCCATGTCCAATTGGACCCAAATTGTTAGAAGCCCAAAACTCTATAGGATTTGTAGTGATCTGGTAAGTGGAGAGGAGAGAGTGAGGTCGAGTGAATCCCAAAGGACCCAAACCCTAAATTCATCCCCAACCACACCGTCGATCCCACTTGGACGCGTGCCGCGGGAGATCGCCGATCTAAGCCTGCCCGTCGCGGCAGCGCCTATTCCCATTTTCGGCCCGTCCTTCCTCCTCCTTCCTTCCCGTTCCAGTGCTTCATCTTGAGAGCCAGGCTGTCAACGACGGTGTCCAGCTTTCGTTCTTCTGTCCTTCCTCCTCCTTCTTTCATGTTGCAGAGATCCAGCGCCGGTCTACAACTTCACTCCATTCTAGCTCCACGGCTCCACGGTCTCCAGCTTCCGTCCCTCCTCCCTTTCAGCCATCAAAGCGAGATCGGAGAGAATAGAGAAGACATATTCCATCCGTCAAAAAAGTCAAAGCAACCAGGTCAAAACCGACTGGACCGGATCAAAATTGGACTGAGTTAAGGGAGCAGATCCGATGAGTAACCTTGTAGTGAGTAACCCCATGCATAACCCAATAAGAATTTGACACATCAGCGTCTCCTTCTCTCTCTTGGAAAAATCATTAATTTTCTTTCTCTTAATCTTTAACGGACGATTTCTCACTCGTTTTAACTCGGAATTCAATTTTTTTTTTGCACAGTTAGATCAGATTAATTGTGCTTTTCAAAATGATATCCACTTTGATATTTTTTGGAACAAAAAAAAATTGTCAATTATTACCAGTCAATACCATATGGTATTGACTGGTATTAAATAACAGCATACCATATGGTATGAAAAATACCACCTCATACCAGGGTGGTATAGTATGGTATGGAGTTAGTAACGATTCAAAATGATATTCACTTTAATATTTTTTGGAACAAAAAAAATTTGCCAGTTATTACCAGTCAATACCATATGATATTGACTGGTATTAAATAACAGCATACCATATGGTATGAAAAATACCACCTCATACCAGGGTGGTATAGTATGGTATGGAGTTGGTAACGAGAGGTACGGAATTTTTTCCCCCAGAAAATTTTGAAATCCAATAGATCATGATTAAATCATTCCTTTTGTGCAAAAATTTCCGAAAATGACTAAACAACGAAGGAGATACCATATGGTATGGAGTTGGTAACGAGAGGGATGAAAAAAAATTCTCAAAAAATATTGAAAATGGGTATCATTTTGTAGAGCACAACGAACTCGTTCCATCTGTGCAAAAAAAATTAAAATCCGAGTTATAATGAAGAAGATATGATCCAATTAAGAAAACTACGGAAAATAAATTCCTTTAATTCTCCACCCGTGATCTGCAGCCACTTAAAATAAGGGTCCAGATTTGGTTACTCATTGTTACTCACCCTAAGGTTACTCATTATATCTTGAGCCCTGAGTTAAAACCAGAGGAAAAAATCCAAAAATACACACGATAATTAAAAAAATTCTCAAAATACATACATTATAAAAAATATTCCCAATCTACACATGTTTGGGCTTCACCGCGGTCGTCAACCGCAGTGAATAACATCACCGCGGCGGTCAACCACAATGAATACTTCACCGCCACTGTCCGAAACGGTGAATATCACCCTGTCCATTCACCGCCGGTGTCCCAAGCGGTGATGTCCTAATTTGGGTGGCTTCCTCTTCTTATGGTTCTGGTTCGAGTTCCCTGTTGTAGGGGCGAGTTCTTGGAGGGGGGAGCTGTAAACTCCAATGGTTGCAGCTGATGGACCTCTGTTTTGTTTTGGCAAGAGGTATATAATTAGTGGTTCTGGGTTGTTGATTATGAACCACCACATCTCTGCTCGACGACACATCATGAAGCTGCGGCGGCGGCGGCGACCACGCCAACCGCAACCGGAATAAGAACAAGAAGAAGAAGAAATGCTCCTCCTGGTCCTCCCACCAACGGAGCATCGGAGATCGTGGCGGAGCGTGGACGTGCGGTCGAGGGCGCTGGAGTTTCTCCGGGGCCGGCGGTGCCTGAGCCGGTGAAGGATTTCAAGCATCCGACACGGTTGTGGTCGACGCTGGGTCGATGGCGATCAAGCACCCAAAAGTACTAGGATTTTTTCCCTCCATTTCAGTCAAGTGCCAACGCAACAGCAACTCCAGCCATGGACTTTTGGCCAATACCCAAATTAGTCCATCACCGTTTGGGACACCAGCGGTGAATTGACACCGCTTCGGACATTGGCGGTGAAGCATTCATCGCGGTTGACGGTCGCGGTGATGTTATTCACTGCGGTTGACAACCGCGGTGAAGTCCAAACATGTGTAGATTGAGAAAATTTTTTATAACGTATGTATTTTGGGATTTTTTTTAATAATGCGTGTATTTTTGGATTTTTTCCAAAACCAGACTGTATCTAATCCCGTCTTTGGTCCCTATATTTCCAAAAATAACGAATTGGGACCGGATCAATTCGGACCAGTTTAACCGGCCCAAACCGTATAACCACCCCCTAAATTTTGCCCCATCCTCCAATTGTCGACATCGAGCCGACGACATCCTCTTTCCCATTCAAACTTCCACGTTGATGCTTGCTCTACTCTTCCAGCTTTACATTCCAACTTTATAAATAATATATTTATATCTATGTTTAAATTTTAATTGATTTAATTTTTAACTTATTTTTATTGGCCGACACACCTATCCAAAAATTCTGATTCCGCCACTTTTCAACAGTTTGCCTTCCTTTGGTTTTTCGTTGGATAAGGTCAGTTATTTCCTTTTACTTTTAGAACGATGAAGATAATGTTATGCGAAAGTGTCTACGAATTAATGTGGTTATTATATACGTCTCTATGTGGTGTAATATTTCTAGTCTGGAAATTTCTTCCACGTTTGAATTAGTTATATATAGGCTCAGTTTGGCTTGCAGTAGCTTTTGGAGAAGCAACTTCTAGCTTGAGTTTTTAGAGAAGTACTTTTCAAAAAAAGCATTTGAGTGTTTGGTTGAAAAACTATTATAAGTGTTTTTTAATATGAGAGGTTGTGTAAAATGACTATAAATGACTTATAATATAAACTATGAATAATAATTTTAAACAATAAAATGTAGTCAAAATGGATCTTATTAGACTTCTTTAATATTAAATAATATAATTTTATAGTTTATTTTATTTTAAAATGAGATAAATGAAATAAAATTATAATTTCTAAATTAAAATTAAAATATTTGAAGGATAATCTTGTATTTTCAAAATAATTTTTCGCAGAAGCTACAAATCGGAGCTTCTGCTTTTATGTTATACAAAAGCACTTTTCGGTTTTTCAAAACCTGAACTTTTAGAGGTGCTTGACCATGCTTCACATTTTGAATACGAAAAACAATTTTAAAAGCCCGGCCAAACATACGGTATATAATAATAATCACATGTTGGCTCGTCGTACCAATACTTTCAACAATACTACATGTTTCCACTTTCCAGTAGGCTGGAGTTCAGAATACAATTGGCTCTCCAAAACAGGGGATTTTGAGCCTCCAACAGCAAGGCATATCAAATTGAAATAGTACATGGCCTGTCTAGCTGTGGATGTGCTCCCTATAATTTGATGAGTACTACCAAAAGAATCCCTCAGCAAACTTTCTTGAGTTCAAGCCCTCTTCACTGTTCACAGAATGGATGGTGGCCGGATGAGCCGTATAGCAACGGTGTATCCCAATTTGGTTTCTTCTTGACAGACTGGTCTGATTAGAGGTTGTTTTTCTAGCTCAGTGTGGGCTAACCGGCTAACATCTCTAAGGAGTATGGTTCGTTCTGGACTGTTAGAGTGTGGTATAAGATCCAACAGAACTTTCTCCCAACAACTCGAGTTATTGGGACCAACTGGTTCTTGACATGGTATCAGAGCCTCGAACCAAAAGGTCATGTGTTCGAATCTCCACGACCCCCAATATTAACCGTTGTCTTTCAAGCACATGGTATGGTGGGCCTGTGCAAACTTCAAGTCCATGGGTTGGCTTTCGTTTGAGGGGGCGTGTTAGAGTGTGGTATAAGATCCAACAGAACCTTCTCCCAACAACTCGAGTTATTGGGACCAACTGGTTGTTGACATGGACATTAGCGTGTCTTGATCCGGATGGAGGAGCTGTTGTTTCTTTCTTTCTGGTATGATTGCTGGGTTCCCGAAACAGTTCTTGCTGCCTCCTTTCCACAAGTTACCGCCGCGTCTTACCCCGGTTCTCGGGTCTCTAATATGGTACATCGACCTAATCTTACAAACTGGTCCTATATCTTTCGTGCTTTTACAAACGTGTCCTTTTGTCCTAATAGAGATGAAAAATATCACACAACTTATTAAACCAACCTGATCAACCCTTTAGCCATCCAGTTAGATCAATAACTCACGGATGCTTGTCTTTCACCGTGTTTAAACTAAAATTGAAAGAACAATTGAGCATTAAGATACATCATTTCCCTCTTTTGGGAAATATAATTTTGACACATGAGATTTCATGACTTTGACGGCGATCTCGAAACTGGATTGTCTTTGACGGCAAGTAGTTTGGGATCCCCGCTTTGATGCGGCAGTACAGCCAACAGGTCCATGAATGGGTTAACCTACCGGTGGACAGGGTCCTTCCTGTTCCTCACTCCCCTTCTCCTAGCTCCCTCAGACCCAACTGGGTTGAATTCTGTGATTTGTATGTGGGCTGGGGCAGTTAGGAGTGGGTCTCATTCGGCAGGTGGAATGGTCCTCATGACTTCAGCTAGAGAGGATCTTTTGGTTGAGGGAGTCCAATTCCCGGAGGTGGATGACCCTATGCTGACTGAGATGCTTGTTCTCCGAGAGGTTATCGCGTGGTGCGTGGGTAATGGCTTCACTGCAGTTAGGTTTGAAGGTGATGCCCAGGTTATCATTGAGAAGATCCTCCGGAGGGACACAAGGGATAACCGAGTGGGGTCGATCCTTGAAGAAGTAGTCCAGTCCTTTGACATGAATATGGGCTTCATTGTACGATTTGTAGGTCGGCGTAACAATAAGATAGCTCATTTGGTGGCTAGGAAGACCCTTACTTTGTACCCGATGACAAGTCGTTTATTTGACCTGGCTGAATTCCAGGATGTAACGATCTATTTGTTCAATCAATATATGATTATCTTTTGTATAAAAAAATATATTTTGACACATAAGAAATCTTTTGGGTTGTCTTTGCTTCATGGGTTGTACTCACCCACCCATCTTTGAGTAGTTGTTGCTTTAATTTGTTAATGTGCTTCCTAAACTTTTTCTAATTTGTTGTTATTATACTTGGAAAATTTTTCTCATTTGTTTTGCATGAGTATCGGCACCATTACTTGCTTTTATATATTTTGTTAAAATGGTTTGTGGAGTTGCTAGCAGAGGAGAAGTATTTACTATAGTATATTAGATTGTTAATTTTGAAAATAATTAATTTGATATTTGGTATATACCGATATCGAACAACGTACTATTAGACAATGCAGTTAAAATCTCGCTTTAAAATATAAAAGCTTACGGTTTTACGCTTCTAGGTCACCACAACGCTTTCGTTTCCATATAAAATCGTTAGTGCATAAAATCATACTAAATTACGTTTTAAAACTTATAAAATTATGCTTTTACGCTTCATGTTCACCAAAATGTTTTATGCTTTTACGCTTTTAGTTCACTAAATGGGTATTCTTTTCATGAAATTAATTACAAAAAGTATATTTTATAGATAAATCATTAACAATATGATACATTTCAGATTAGCATATACATACCAAATACTTGAATGCATTCTTAGCTTCAATAGAGTAATCTAATTCACGCCCTTCCCAAAATCATTAGCATAGAGGGGAAAATGACATATTATTAAGATGCTATGAGTTGCTCTACTTTATATATGAATTGAATGTATTTACTAACTTATCTAAATTCTATATACTCATATTTTACATAGTATATGTCGTACTTAAGCTATTTTTAGTTATTTTACAGTATGCGTCAAAAACTTACGCTTTTACGCTTTGATTCTACGCTTTACGATTTTACCCCTTTTCCGCTTCTACGTAAAATCACGCTTTTAACTGCATTGCTATTAGAGATTGGAATTGTGATACCGAATTTATTTCGGGGTTGGGATTGAGATTGAATTCAAAATGCTATTTAATATTCAGAAATTTGTTAATTGACATTGAGATACTGATACTGATACGATTTTCACCTTATTTGTAAATAGATGTCAATTGGTCAATCAAGTAAGTCGATAGGTGTATAATTAAACGACAAGTTGATTGCGCTCGTTTACTGGCCGTATGTTGTTAGCTAATTGCAAGTTGCAAGTTGCAAGTTACATGCCTATTCCCTAGTAAATACATGTACACTGTTTGCAATATTGAGCAGTGTTTAAGGAGAATGATTATTTATTGATACATAAAAATAAAAAAATAGTAACTACAGAAGATTTATTTTTTCCTTTTATGCTTCAACTGAAAGAAGGTTTTTATTTCTGGCCGGACGACGATGAGAAGAAGGAATTGAGAGTGGGCATGACTTCCGGCGGCCGCGTGCGGAGGAACCGCCGGAGACCATGCTCGGCGTACTTCTCCCCATCCTCTCCGTTCTCCAGCACCCCCATCAGCCTCCTATTCTTGTTGATTCTGTGCACCCACAATCAATCAACTTAATCAATGAGACAACAGATTAAGGAATTAAGCATGGTTTAACGAGCTGAGGGTCTTAATTAATTAATCAATTAGCTTTGAACCTGACATCAGGGTTGAGCACAAGGTTCCTGCTCAACTGGAACCCCACCATCGTCACCACAAATCCCATGGCAGCTAGCAGCGGGTAAACCTGCAAGAAGATTAACCCAAAGCTTCATGTAGAATTGATTCATTGAAACAGAAAAAAAGTTTGTGACAGAGACAGAGGGAGATGGCTTGCCTCTGGTTTCATCCAACGAGAACCCATTTCTAAGCTAAGGCACTGCTTTCTGTAATTTCCACTTATCAAACAGATTATGCTGTGTATACAAGTTCTTGTGGTTATTATATATATATGTGTGTGTGCGGTGTGATATTTCTAGTCTGGAAATTTTGTTCCGCGTTTGAATTCCGTCGTAGCAATACTTTCAACAAGTCTAAGATACTACATGTTTCCAGTGGGCTGGAGTTCAAATACAGTTGGCTCTCCAAAACAGGGGATTTTAAGCCTCCGGCATGGCCTATCAAATTGTAGTAATACATAACATATATATGGTCTGTCTAGCTATGGATGTGCTCCCTATAATTTGATGAGCAGAATCCGTCAACATATTTTCTCGACATTCATACCATCTTACTATGTTAATTTTTTTAGAAAAGTAAACCCTTTTGTTCGTAATAGATTTTAACTGTGAGATAAAATGATCAAAGTAATTAAACTTGTTTATCCCTTCAACGATTTTTTAGTTTTAACGATTTTGGGATAGATAGTAAATAGTTTTGTCATTTAGGCATTGTTGTAATAAGAAATTCGTCGAATTGGGGTTGAAGAGTAAAATAATTTGTTTATTGGTATGTTTGTGTTTTTTTCTTAATTAAGTTTACCTCTTTGCAAATCCATATAGTTGCGGTTAATTAAATATATGGTCAATTATACATGACCGATAAGAATAAGTCGTTGCATTTGTCTGGATGGAAAATTTTGAAAAGAACCAACTAGTAACACACATATTTGTCCTTCTATTAAAATTTCGAGTGGATGAATCCTAGTAAGCAAATTTGTAAGAGGACTTATATAAATTTCATGGTATCAGAGGTGTAAAGTTAAATATTATATAACAGTATGACACTAATCCATACAATTTTTACTTTTTATTTTCAAGTTGGGTCCATGAATCCCTCACATCCTCTCAAGTTACACCTCCAAACATATAAAGAAGTATCAACGTATTGATTGACCGAAATTTGACATTATAAACACATAAATATCTAAACCAATCTAATCAAAGTTTTAGTCATCCCATAAATGAATACGTAGTGAATATTTTTTTACTTGTTGTCTTCACCATGCTTAACACTTTAAATTAAAAAATGAAAGAACAAATTGGATATTACGATCCATCATTTTCCTTTTTATGACAAACAGAATTTTGACACATGAGAAATCTTTTGTGCTGTTTTTGCTTCATGATCAAAGAAATGCATCAGTCGCATTCAACTAGAACCCACTACCGTTGCGATGTTAACCTTGGAACAACTCCGTGTATCTCCTCCCCCCAATTCGTCACGTAACTTTGCTTCAAAAGCTCGCAACTGGAGAAAAAGAAAAAAAAGAAGTTCCAGAATCGGACAGACTGTGACACAGCCAGCCATGAACATGTGCTCTGTATATAATACAACAAACCAAGCTTAACAACCAGTAGTTAGGCCGCTCTGTTATGCCCCTGACTTCCTTTGTTTCCCAAGTCATCTGTCCCATTAAAACTGAAGAACACCTCTGCTTTTCCAGATATTGCAGTAGACGCCCTCTCTTCCAAGATGATCAGAATTGCAGTGCCAATTGTCTGCCTTTTGCTGCTTTTCACTTGTGCGGGTGAGAACTTCACAGCAATCTTGCTCAATCTCTCCGCATTATAGAGGGAAATCAACTCTTCCGGTTTCACTTAATTTATTTACCGTTGTGCTCTGTTTTGACTCTGTTTTTGCTCTGTTTTGCAGCTGCATATGATCCATTGGATCCCACCGGAAACATTACAATCAAATGGGACATTGTATCTTGGACAGCCGACGGGTACACGGTAAGAGCATTAACCTGGCCAAGAGCAGCATTAACCTAAATAACAAAACACATTGTAAGATTGGAACTAACAATTACTCTGTTTTTTTTTTCTTCCTCCTCCCATCATCACAGGCAGTTGTAACATTGAACAACTTCCAGCTATACAGACACATAATGAATCCAGGGTGGACAATGGGCTGGACGTGGGCGAAGAAAGAAGTGATATGGGCGATGAACGGAGCACAGGCAACAGAGCAAGGCGACTGCTCCAAGTTCAAAGGCAACATCCCCCACAGCTGCAAGAAAACCCCCACGGTGGTGGACTTGCTCCCCGGAGTGCCTTACAACCAGCAGTTTACGAACTGCTGCAAAGGCGGTGTGGTCGCGGCGTGGGGGCAGGATCCATCGGCGGCGGTTTCCCAGTTCCAGATCAGCGTTGGGCAGGCGGGGACGTCGAACAAGACCGTGAAAGTACCCAAGAACTTCACCTTGCTTGGTCCTGGACCTGGCTACACTTGCGGCCCTGCTAAGGTTGTGCCTTCCACTAAGTTCCTCACTCCTGATCTCCGCAGGAAAACTCAGGCACTCAGTAATGTCCAAAAACTCTCTCTTATTCCAATTTGTTTAGATTGTAATTCACTAATTTGTCACTTCTACTAACTACTTTTTTACTTGAGGATTACAGTGCAATTTAGATTGACTACGGTTATTGTATGGTTGTTTTGACATGTGGAAATGAAGTGACTTGGAACGTCACTTGTACATACTCTCAGTTTCTAGCAAGGAAGCATCCAAGTTGTTGTGTGTCCCTATCGTCCTTCTACAATGACACCATCACCCCTTGCCCCTCTTGTGCTTGTGGCTGTGAAAATAAACACACATGCGTCAAGTGAGTTTCCTCGTCACCAGAGAAGTTCAAAAGATCGAATTTCAGTGTCGCATACTCATCACTAACTTTCTTGTGCGCTCAATGTATCAGTAACGACGCGAAGATTCTGAGCATGGCCGGGATCCACAAGCCAAGAAAGGACAACACCTCATTGTTACAGTGCACGCACCATATGTGCCCAGTTCGAGTCCATTGGCACGTCAAGACCAACTACAAGGAGTACTGGCGTGTAAAAGTTTCGGTCACCAACTTCAACTACCGAATGAATTACACACTGTGGACTCTGGTCGTCCAGCACCCCAATCTCAACAATGTCACCCAAGTCTTCAGCTTCGATTACAAGCCTCTGGTTCCCTATGAATCCATCAGTGAGTCAAATGGATAATGATATCCATATATAAGCACTTCTCATGAATATGTGAGTTTCGTTAATTGGGTTTTGAATTGTTGGTTGCAGATGACACGGGGATGTTCTATGGGATGAAGTTCTTCAACGACGTGCTAATGGAAGCAGGGCCACTAGGGAATGTGCAGTCAGAGCTCCTACTACAGAAGGATGCAAACACCTTCAGCTTGCGGCAAGGGTGGGCGTTTCCTCGAAAGGTCTACTTTAATGGAGATGAATGTATTCTACCCTCTCCGGATTCATATCCTTTCCTGCCAAACTCTGGTCGTAAATCTCATTTCTTGGCTCTGTGGAGCACTTTGATTCCTGGTTTGGTGTTGATGTTGTTATGCTCCGGCTAATGTTGCGCTCTAGAGCTTGATGGGATTGGGAGATAAGTGAGAAAGAGATGTTAAGACATTTTGACAACACAGTTTATGAGCATATGCACACTTATGTATAGTTAGTAGAAATTCTTTCATAGAGAAATGAGGAAGTATTGGAGTTACCAAGTTGGAGCATTATACTGAACAATTTGTATGTATACGAACATCCAATTTTGGATGTTCGTTTTCCTATATGTTAGGATATGTATCCATTTCTTGTTTATATACAAAAAAAATTATTTAAGAATAATAAAGCCAAAATTATTCACAAGTTTTGTCGTTTCAGGTTCTTCATTTTGCTGAAATCAAGTTTTGGGATTTTGGATTGAATATTCCTTGACTGATGTTTTGATACTTTGTGATGAAATCTAAAATACGGAACAAAACGTGACATAGAGATATAATTAATTATCCAAAAACATTTCCAAATCTTGTTGTAATTGCACCCATATTTATGATGCAATCAATGGCTAGCTGGTAGCTTGATACCAATTTTGGCGAGTACGGCAAATCCCCATTTCCATGATTTGATCACCCGACTCAAACCCTTTTCCCCATTCCCCACAAAAAATCAAGACCCGTACTTTGAGTATAAGACAGCAAATGGTATCCAGGACAGAGCCATCCGCCATATCTGGTTCTTACAAAGCTTAGTTATTACCCCCTCTCTGTTTTGTTCTGAATGAAGCTTCGCGCTTCGTCCTGTACAGTGAATGCCAAAGATACAACCCTCTTATAAAACCAAACACCCTGAATTAAAATCTCCATCCCTCTTTCTTCCCGCCTTCGCCCACCCAGCAACAACACCAATCAGGTCAGTAATCCGATCCGATGGGTACTAGTTCAGGTGTGGGTAAAACGATCAGCTGGGTATTGTTGGCGGCTGCTGTAATCCTGGCTTTTGGGTGCTCACAGGGGGAATGCAAGGTCAGGCTGGCAAAACTCTGTTTCACTTTCACCCCTGTTTTTGTATTCAAACTTCTTCTTCTTCTTCTTCTTCTTCTTCTTCTTCTTCTTCCCAAGAAGCAGGGGAAATTGGGTTAATTGATGCTCTGTATTTAGGTGGGCGATAAATGTTCGTCGGACCAAGATTGTGGAGCAGGGCTCTACTGTTTCAGTTGCCTGGAGAAAGTAACCTCCGGCGCAATATGCGTTAGATCCACCACCACAAACCAGTTCCAGCTCCTGGTAAAAAAAACTCCCCTCTTCCTTCTCTGTTTTTGTTTGTCTTTCCCTTCAAAATTGGTTCACTTTCCATATCTGAAAAGGATACCGCGCTTGCCGTTCACTTTGTGTTTTGCTAAAAAGGACAGAAAAAGCTTCTGGTTCTTGTTGTTTAGAGATCAATTCATTTCTTGTACGTAATTCACAAGAATTTCCGGGAGGATAAGGTTGAGAAATGAGAGATGATAGAAAATGTTTAGTTTGATCATTTTATACATCGTTAATTTGGTGTATGAATTTCTACAGTTGAACATTGTGGTGATATTATTAATTCGCTAGAATTTAAAGATGTGACAATAACCATAATTAACATACCAAGGTAACAAAGAAATTTTAAGTGTTAAAATGTAAAACAATTACTAAAAATTACCAAATGATCAAACCAAAACATTCCAAGGGTCAAAGTGGGATTGTTTTGTCATTTGTATAGGTGGGAACCAGTGACATTCTCCTAGGAATGTTCACATAGTTGGTTGGTTCTTTTTCACATTTGGTTGAAAATGAGAACAAGGCAGGCAGATATCTCCAAGTAGTTGGGCGGAGTACCAACCAATTTGGTAGACAAAAGGGATGGATAAAGTGGGAAAGAGTGAGACATGTTGAATTTCCCTTGTGCTGTGGGCTTTGATATGGAACACCCCCAAAATTGTAAAATCGTATTGGATGTTATATATCAAAAAAATTAATGATAGGATATTTTGTAATGAAATAATTGTATTGTGGTTTTATATTGTTAAAATCGCCTATTCACTTTGACTCTGACAAACAATTTCCCAGTAATACCATCAGTATGGTTTTGTAAACACAAGTAATAACAAATTGTGTAGTCCATCGGTGTAATTATGTTGATCAAATGTTTGAGTCTTAGGAGATAATCTATGAAAATTTTAATTTTCTCAGAATTTTATATATATATATATATTAATTTTTTCTGATTTTCCTATATATTTTGAACTTTTAAACCCATTTTCAAACATATTTCTCAAATTACACAAAAAAAACGTATTTTCAATCTTCCATTCCAAATTTCGAACGCGGCTGAAGGCCCACTATTACTGTTTTTTTCTGTTTCTTTTACTAGATTAGCTCATGAAACCCAAAGAATTGTTTGTGCCTTACTGAAATATGTTGTCATTGTCATTTTCTTCTAGTTAGGCCTTTCAAAATAGATTGGGCTAAAGGGCCGGGAATCTGAATATGAACATTGAAGAATTAGAAGTTGCTTTGCTTGCTCCTGCTTATACTTCTCATGTTTTCCTATCATCTAATCAAATCTTATGGTTGGTGAAACAGAACAACTCTCTGCCCTTCAACAAATATTCATTCTTGACAACCCACAATGCATTCGCCATCGATGGGTATCCGCAGCACACTCCGATACCTCGAATCACTGAAACGAACCAGGAAGATAGCATCACCACCCAGCTTAACGTAAGTCATTATGTACTTCCACCTAAAATCTAGTAAAAAGCTTCCCTCAAAAATCTAGTAAAAAGCTAATTTGGCTACCACAAGCGTAATTAAGCATTCAGACTAGATTAGAGAAAGCCTTTTTTTTTTTTTTATGTTTGGCTCCAAAATTCGGCACTTGCATCCATTAACTCAAACCTGTTGGGTCGCTTTCTTTTTTTACTCCATCAGAATGGAGTCAGGGCATTAATGCTCGACGTCTACGATTTCCAAGGCGACGTTTGGATGTGCCATTCCTTCGGCGGCAAGTGCTACGATTTCACTGCCTTCGTAATCCCCAAACCCTCCCCTGTTTCTCCCTTTCTTCTTGTGTAAACAAACTTCCTGATGTAAATTATAACTTCCCCGACGCTATAACAAAAACAGGGTCCAGCAATTGACTTCTTGAAGGAGATCGAAGGCTTCATGTCGGCAAACCCATCGGAGATCGTCACAATCATCCTCGAAGACTACGTCAACGCCGACAAAGGCCTGACCAAAGTCTTCACCGACGCCGGGCTCATGCCGTACTGGTTCCCTGTCTCCAGCATGCCCAAGAACGGCGGCGACTGGCCGCTGGTCAGCGACATGGTGAAGAACAACCAGCGCCTCCTCGTCTTCACCTCGATTTCGGCCAAGGAATCGAGCGAGGGCATCGCTTACCAGTGGAATTACATGGTCGAGAACCAATGTGAGTAACTAAAAACCCAGTTCGAAAATTGAGTTGTGTGTGTAATGTAAATTGAGACGGCAGAGGAGGACTTGATTGTCGAATTTTTTTTAATTGGGGGGGCAGATGGGGATGGAGGGATGAAATCGGGTAGCTGTCCGAACAGGGCGGAATCTTCGGGTATGAACGACACGACGAAGTCGCTGGTGCTGATGAACTACTTCAGGTCGACGCCGATGAAGGCACTTGCTTGTGGGGATAACTCTGGTGGTGTGATGGACATGCTTGCCACTTGTGAAGCTGCTGCGGGGGACCGATGGGCTAATTTCTTGGCCGTCGACTACTACAAGGTACGTTTTGTTTCGAATTAGTTGATTTCAGTAACTCGATTTGTGCAGTGAAATAGATTAGACTGAGGAAGGTGACTGAATGTGTTGTTTGGTGTGGACAGAGAAGTGAAGGTGGAGGAGTGTTTCAAGCTATGGACACTCTGAATGGGAAGCTGCTCTGTGGGTGCAATGACGTTCATGGCTGTGTGGTAAGCAGTACTACTAGTCATCATGGCTTACAGTCTTGTTATTCTGATGATGACATGTATTACATGTGAAATTCGACTTGTTAACATTACCTTATGTATTTAAACTTTCTCTGTTAAAGCCTTGCAACCAATGTTTCCAGATTGAACAATCTCTGATTTGTCCATTCATGATTGGGTTGAGCGCGTTAAATGGGTATGTTGGAGTCAACTTAATTAATCGGTGACGGGGTACACGATATAATGAGTCAATAGATATACAAGATAAAACTCAAAAGATTACAATGCTTATTTAAAATTTTCCAAATTCTTGTTTGGGGGTGATGTCCTATGTATATAGAGTTATGTTTCTAGTGACGATACATAAATTCCACTCTCCGCGTATAGCATGATTGAGGTTGAAAATGTTTGAACCTTTAACTTCGAGTCAATATTTTTGAATGCATGGCCACCCAATAGTAGTTAGTTACATCTAATGGATGTTCAAACAACCAATTCGACCATAGGACCAATGTCGGTGGGGTTTTACTAAAAGAAAACATATGTAAACCCAGTTGTCATTTTCTTAAAAAAAAAAATATGTATTCTCTTGTTGTCTATTTCTTATATTTGATTTGGATTAGACTATGATCTCGTTGCATACTAGAATTATGGAATAATGAGTGATTGTTAAATCAAGCATTTTGCGATCCACATTTGTTGAATCACATGTCCCCCTCAGTCATTGGGTATCTCTAAATGGATCCTGCTTATATGTCTGCGTGTATTTTGTAGGCTGGATCAGATTCAGCGGCCTGCAATCCTTGACATATCCGGCCCAATGTAGAACCCCACAGTTGCAATTTTTGGATAGGATTCAAGCAAACAGCAAGACAAATGTATGTAGGAAATCACTCAGCATATGAAGTTCAAAAAGAAGCTATACATTTCTATTTTTTTATGTTATCACTTCAAATATCATTAGTGTGGATTATTTGCAAATCCTTGAATGAAGGAAAAGAAGAGAGTAAAAGTTGTGTCATTGTTTGGGGCTCTGGTACTTTTAACTTATGAAACTACTAAAATAGATGAGCAAGTTATGTGTAAAGTTTCGGTATGTGATAATATTCCGCATATGATACGAGAGTTTAATTATTCATTTATATTGGTTGCTCTGTTGAAAAAACGTGCACGAACTTTTATAACTAAAATCAAGAGGTCTCACGTATCTTTCTGCAATCGCTGTCGTTTGGAATGGTCTTTTGGTCGACATAAGATGGATTTTGCATAGAGGGACCTTTCGACTATCATAATTTGTATTTTTTTATATAATTTACTATTAGTTGATGTCTCGTTCTACCTAATTATTTTTCATGGGTTATTTCATTTATTTAAGAACATAACTCAAACACAAAGCCTTAGGAACCTCTGATTGTTGTTTCATGCTCTTTTTTTCCTTTTGACAAAGAGCCTCACTCTTATTAGCTGACAGTTAGTATTCAGATCAACCCTTCGCTAGATCTCATACTTAAGCATTTTGAAGTATTAAACTCGAATGTTGTTTTGTCTTAACCTATTATTATATTGTTTTAATCTTATTTTAACTTTGATATAAGTCAAAAAAGTGGTCATTGATCCAAGAGAAGTTGAAATTAACAGCTATAGGCCCATAATATTTATTCCACTGTAGCTAACCACCACCACATGGTTACCGCAACACCATCTGAATCATTGGTCAAACCCACGATGTGAAAATACATACAAGTCTACAACTCAGTCAAAGTGCCCAAACCCCAATCCACCCCTTTACTAAAAACATCATTAATCCCAAAAAAAATATTGACAATAACAGCTCTAGCTGCTAGTAAGTAGCAAGACATTTTGTCTTCGAGTTTCTCAATTATAGATTTACTAATTTTTGTATTCTTGAGGTTTTGGATTTAATGCCGGCAATCGCTACTACTTTGTTATTCTTGTGGCGGTCGAAAGCGTTTCACATTGCATCGTACTACGTTTTGAGGTTATGCACCAAACCAAAACACAAGTTGTGATGACATCAATTATCCATATAATTAATTAATATATAAGTATATAACCACCTTGGTGAGGGGCATGTGAGTTTAGGACCAAATAACTTTTAGAGGTTTAATTTATAGGAGCCATCCGTGCCCATCACATGCTCATTAGCTCGCATGCAATCCCAACAAACGAATGAAATCAGAACCAAAACATATAATTACTAATAAGTACGGTATTAATTAATATAATCCACGCAATTTTGTATGATATGATTAGATCTGCAGAATTATAATTACTAATTAGTAACTTGCTTTTTGGAATCTGCTTAGATGTTGCTTAATTGGTTAGCACATTCATATTACTGTTGATGAAATAGTAGTTCGAAGGTGATAATGGACAGACGACACAATTACGGTGTTAATCATTGTGGCGATGACATTTAATTTGTGACGATATTATTAGTGCAATTAATCCAATGATGTGATGACAATAGGGAGGAGTTACAGTGCTAATTGCACAATAGTTAGCACTGTACTAACCAAGGGAAAAGCTAGTTTGAATTAGTAGTGATTTAGTTTAGATGTTGTATTGATTTTATAATAATCCGTAGTGATTTCGTTATTTTTAGTAGCGTTTTTTGCTAGTTATCACGATGCTAACCCCTATAAGGGTTAGCACCTAATCTCATCCCGATGACAATACCATGTTCCTAATATTTATATATTCTTCGAAAGAAAAATACTGAGAAAATGGGGTGCTGACCAACGTGGGGGTGGGATATCTCTGTCCGCCATGTAAAATTAAAATCATATATTTAATTTATAAGTTCTCTAATAATTATAATTTTCCATGTTACAAATTAATGATATGGATATGGAATTTCGAGGAAACAGAGATTGAATGGCTCATCATTTTATTGGGTGTTGCTCGTGGACACTGAAAAAAATAATTGAGGCCTATTTAGCAAAAGAAGAAATAATAATTGGGGCCTACAGTAGGTTGGTCTATATTATAAGCATAATTTATTAGTGTTTTATTTTTTTTTTAGACATATATTCCATCAAATAATTATTTAGGAAATCTATCAGATATGTATGAATTTTCTTTTTATTAAAAAAAAAAAAAGAGGTTTGGGGAGGTCAATTAATGGAGGGACACATGGTTTAGGAATATATGCCATTTTGGATATACATTATCATATAACTTTTGAGCTAATTAGAAGGAATTGGGTTAGTAGAGTATTAGTGTATTACAATCCATGCTACTTAAGAGTACACATGGCTGGAAACCGCAAGGGAAGGATCCTTTTTGCAGATGAATCATTCAGAGTTTTGTGTTTCAGTCATTCAATTGGTGCGATGCAGTTTTATGGTACAGTACAAGTGTGTAACATGCAATTTGACATACGCGGTCAAGAATGAAAGTTCAGTGATATCAATAATGTCGTCAACTTAATTATGATTACAAAATTTCCTTCTTGAACCTCTTGTGAGCACCCTTTATGAAGTTCAAGGACTCAAACACTTAGTTTGATTGTCGTATTACTTGTTATCAGCGGCGGATCCAGAACACAGAAGTGCACTGGGCCGTATTTTATTAGAAAATTAGAATAATAAAAAAATATAATAATTATAATTTTTTTACAATGTAAAATTGTACACGACGGTATTTTAATTTAGCGAATGCATTAATAATGGAGTCCACATCCATACCAATAGTACACTGTTTCAAATAAAATACTTGAGCAATCGACTAGAAATCCATAGCTCATTTTGTTGCGCAAATCAATTTTCACATGTTTCATTGTTGAAAAGGTTCTATTCGTATTAGCTGTTGAAACGAGCAGCATCATCACTAGACAAATCAATCTACTAATCTATTTGAATTGTGTTTCCATCCCTATATCCACCAGCTGCTCTAGTAAATTTTCCAAGGTAACAAACCTCATATATGTTTTAGTATTTTACGTTTTAAACTTTTTGAATTTTTAGGTTTCATTGTTTTTTAGACGAATAACCTTTGGGGTTAGAATTTATAAACTAAATTTAGAGTAGTGATTCTGAATATGTTCATCTGAATTACTTTTCTAATTATACCCAATCTTATTTTAAAATAACAACGACCCGAATATTTAAAATCGAAAAATTCATAAGGCCTATACTAACGATGGATCCAGAGGAGGGCTAGGCCGGGGCCCGGGGTGGCCACCCCTGGATCCGCCACTGCTTGTTATCTTGGTAGAAAGTATTAGGGTTCAATAGTTAACTTGGCATATTTTTTTTTATGGGCAATATCAAAAAAATTTATTGAGCTCTATGTGTACCCCAAACAGGGGTTTACACATCATGATCATTTACAATCTACAGCAAGCAAAAACCTGCACTACTACACTCTACTTCTATACAACAAACTAAAGAAACCTACACTACTACACTCTGCTACTACACTCTGCTTCTAACAATTACTTTACTGACTAAACACTGCTTGACAATCAGTATTCAATGTTGCATTTCCATGCCTGGCCAACTCAATCGTCCTTCGAACTGTCTGAATCAACTCCCCATACTGCATTGATTTACTCCCAAACAGTCTGCCACAACGTTCCCTTCAAATCATGCTCACTACTAAATTCCAAACCAATCGACCAACCATAGCTAAAGCCTTTTTGCCTTTGAAGTTCCTCACTGCCCACATCAAGTAATCTTCATAGTTGACTAGCTGGGGACATCTCAGATCAAGCATTTACATACAACCCTTCATCACCTGGAACGTATATTGACATTGGAAAAACAGGTGGTCTCGATTCTCTGTATGAGTAGAACTGAGCAAATAGTTAGCATCCAACACCTTCCCCCAACCCTTCAATTGATCCAGTGTGGTGATCCTGTTGCGTGCTACAATCCAACTCAAAATATTGTGCCTTGGAAGAGAGTGTCTTCCCCATGCAAGCTGATACAAGGGCACTAGAGGTCTAGCCGACTGTAAATCATCTCAAACCTGCTTTACAGAATATCGCAGCATCCGCTTATCATTCCAAAAAACTCGTGTTCCCCAACAGCGAAAAAAACCTTCCACCTTATCTCTGACCATTAGCAATCTCTTCCAAACCCAAGAAGCAGTACTACCCGTTCTTAATTCCCAGAATGTGAGGTGCTTAATATGATACTGATAATTCCACGCAACCCACCAGGGCCCCTCTTTGGCAAGCAGAGCCCATATGTGTCTCGTAGTACAAGCTATATTCCATGTCTTTAGACAACGAATGCTTAGCCCCCCCCCCCCCCTTTTTTGTTTGGAATAGCTAATAAATCCCAAGCCATTACTGCTTTTTTCCTCATGGATTCATCATCTATACCCCAAAGAAACTTACAACATATTTACTCTATCTCCTTTATGATGGACAGTGGCAATAGGAAAACATTCATCCAAAAGTAGGATAAACTACTCAAGACAGAAGTGATGATTTGAAGTTTACCTGCATAGCTGAGCATCCTAGGCTTCCATCCAAAAATGCATTTTGTGATCTTCTCAATTAACACTCGACAATCACTTGTAGTAAGTTTCCCTGCTATGGGAGGAACTCCCAGATAACGGACTGGTAATGAAGCTTTCTGAAACCCAGCTAACTGAGCCAGTCTAGTATGCTCTGCCTCTTCAATCCCTGCGCAGAATAATTGATCTTCTCTAGATTGAACTTTAAGCCTGAAAGCCTGTAGAATTTATCCAGCAGACCACTTACACTCTCCACTGCTTTTGTAGAACCATTGGAAAATAACAATAAATAATCTGCAAACACAAGGTGTGTTATG